GTTCAAAATAAACGTGAAATTCCGGACAAAATGACCGTGACTGCTAATTATTCAAGAATGCAATAATGAAAGAAATAATAAAATCGAATATGCTGGTACAAAGTCATCAGTCTTTTGTATGATGGGCGTTTCTAATCGACAGAAGTATTCATGTGTTGCCCACCGGTGTAGAAATAACCTAATATCAGTTATTACTTATCCTATCCCTACCAAATATTTACGTTCGTTGGTCACACGTTCGGGAAAAGGCATGGTCACGGAGAGTCGCGCGATCGCGTGTGTTTTTTTATTAGCTCCTCCCCTTCAATAGAGGCCTGTCAGCACCCTGGTCGTCGACCCGTCTCGCCGAATGGACTCATCTCAATGGCGTAAACACCCTATAGGAATGGGACAATATGGCTACCGTAGGGTCTATTGTCGAAGTAACAATACAATTTTTTATCTCACCAAGTCTCGCTCGGATTTGTAAGTCATATTGAAATCTCGGCGGTTGGAAACATTCAATTAACATACCTTACTTCTTTTTTAAATATTTTATGTTTGAATATCGCAATGTCATCCTCCTTATGGCCTATTATATAACCTTTGATATGATAATAACATTAACCTCTTTGGGTTGCATTGTGAAAAAGATTTTTTACATTATGACATTTTGCTTGACTTACAGATAACACGTGCATGCATTTGATATTGAAATAAGTGTCACAAGGTTTCAGAAAACAATGCATGACAAAGCAGTTTTGGAACTGCCTTCCTTTTCAGGGGACATTTTTGGATGAATAATATCCGGGTACTCTTTGCCCTTTTACTACTTTTCAATACTGTTGTGTAGCATGGAAGTATAATAAAACCAATCAAATACAATTTCCTCAGTTTTGGAACTGCCTTCCTTTTCAGGGACATTTTTGGCTGAATAATATCCGGGTACTCTTTAGTACTTTTTAATACTGTTGTGTAGCATGAAAGTACAGTTAAATCTCGATATAATGACCCTCGTTAATTTACCACCTCAACTACCGCCAGTATAGTTCAAAGTTTCCTTTTCCGTTTCTTCTGAATACGTCCTATATATTTTTCACTCCACGTATTACTTAAATGTTTCATAACACCGACATGTCTATGTGAAAATGGAGGCAGTATATCGATATTTTTCTATAAATAGTTTTTCCTTCGATGGAAGTAGCAAAATGACTTGTTGAGCTTCAAAGATAAATACAAAACATCAGAATAAGGATCTTCGTTTTACTGCCAATTCTGAAATTATGCTTTTGAAACATTTCAACTGCATGAAAATAATTTTTATAATCAATTTCTGAAAAGATAACCATACCTCGCGGAACTTGTATGAATTAATAATAAAGATGAAAATACATCAACCAAGGACCATTGCTGACATTACGGTTGCTTAAAGCAACTAGGCTACCTAATCAGTTTATGATTCCTGGCCCAGTCCAACTACAGTTAAACCCAAAATTAAATTAAGGGCATGTTACTGTTTGTATGAGGAACTATATTGAGATTCACATGGGTTTTGCCTGTATTGGGGCGGACATCCTTAAGGAAATACCAACCGTGTCCCCACGTGTCAGGGTACCTGGATCGCTGGTCCTATACTCTACTTATATACACTTGCTTTACCCATTGTGACAAACCTCCTGGCCAAATAGCGCAGCGATACCTATTCATCTCAATATTTGTCATATCAATTTCAGTGGTTAAATCAGCCGTATACACCCTATCATTCATGATGTTCATATGACGATCTCACGCCACGTGGCTAGCGCGAGGCGGTCGTGCGAACGATCACGAGACGACGGGTGTTAGGTGGAACCTGTTTCTGTGAAAAGAAAAGCCCGCGACTGTGTACCTGTTCTCATTAATAATAGATTCCATTCAATCAGGTGAGCTGATTTAGCCGATAAACACATCAAGTTCTAACCATTTTGTTTCACCACTGTAAACCGTCTGTTTATATATATTGTTTCTACCACTTTATCGGAATAGACGATAAAATTATACCAAACAAGGAATCGCCGTGAAATGGCATCCTTATCCTCTAACAATTTTTTAATATTTAAAGGGGCATGTACAATTGTCCATACGTTTAGACGTCTGAGAGACAGGATGACAAGGCGAGGACGAGCTTTACGTCCATCCACCATCAGCCAAGCATCTGTTACTTACTGCTTTTTGCTTGTACTTAAAGTTCATGTTCTTCAATAAAAAAAAAGTTCTTAAAAATAGAAACAATAGAGTTGTGATATTGTGTAAAATCATTGCAATTACAACAAAGCTGTTACCAGTTTTTGATGATTTCAAAACATTTTATTGACAATTAAACGAGATGGCATTGGTGAATATAGAAAACTCAGACATTGTTACTGGCTAGTAATAAAAATGTTATTACAATAACGTCTGTGGTTTATCTGGATTATGTTATATCACTGTTAACTTTTTATTGTGTTTGTTTAATACACTATCATAATGATGGATATGATATATGGGTAACAAAAAGTAACATCAAGGCTTAATTCCCATATAACACTCAATCCTTACAAACGTATAGCTGTAGAATACTAATAACTTAACATTTTATATTTGTGTGTCCAACAAAGTAAGTGATATCATCCGTATCAGTTTCCATTAGCTCGGCAACAACGTGGTTTTTGAGTAGATACGAGATGCCATAGGATGATATTACTGTATACGAGTACGCTACATTGACAGATGCAGTAAGATGTATATAAGATTAAATATCTATGTTTAACGGAAGTATTATGGTATGGGGTTGTCGGCCGGCCGGCGTAAACTTTTGTTTGTCCAGCAATCTCCTCCTACATTTTTCGACCGAACTCTTTGAAACTTGGTATACATTATAATCATGATATGAAGTTGTGTCTCGCTGAACAGAATTTTGATTTGACAGTTTTTCCAAAAGTTATTGCCCTTTGTTCATACAATTATTTGACGGCTTTCTTTGAAACTTAGTAGGCTAAATTTTTGCAAAAGTTCTTGCCCTTTGTTCATTTCCGTATTTGATTTATTGCTCGGAGATTTTCTCCTTCATTTTTTATAGCATGTCAGCTAACCATTCTTAGAATGATGCAGATCTTATTTCAATGTAAGAAAGTATAAAACACTATATGGCATTCGACAGGCGTATATTGTCCGCCCCGGGTTTTATAAAGCTATCCTGTAATTACACAACTACGTTTTAAGATCTAACGACATTTTTGTGATATATCTGTTACAGTCAGCACTATACATTTTTTCGGTAAAATTACATAAATCGGTACCTTTAAACACGTCAGGCGTAATGTATCAGAAGGGTGATAAATAGTACCAATTTTTTCAGTTAGAATGTATCTATGTTACATCTTTTGAAACCAGTTAAAAATTTAGTTACGTAACGCAAAGACCACACGATATCAAGCATCTGTTTTCCTGTTCGCGTTTTGCGTGATGTAGTTATTTACTACCATATTTAGATATCGAATTATATTAACGCTGTCTTACGTATTGTCGGCGTCATTGCATTTTCTTTTGTTAAGTGACACCCAATCTTTTACTTATTTTTAGCACAGTGATAGCAGACTTTTCACTGGTTAGATAACTCAACCAATCCTCTGCAATCTAATTCAACCCATATAATGATACTGGGGTTAATTGATTTCATTGGTCTACTATACTAGCAAATGACAAATTAAGGAAGCCCTGCTCATTTAAAGACGTGCCAATCCGTCGGTTTAAAACATATTAATAATGCAACCATTGAATAATAAACATAAAAGTGCAGACTGGTGAACTTTAGATGAGTAAGGGTAACTGACTGTCGTGTGGATTTATTGCTTGCGTGGGATGACTGCATACAAACGATGTTACACAAGAGAAGCAGGACCAAGGCCAAATAACATTCAATATCCTGCTTATGAAACTTTTCTTTTTGTTTAATTCAAAAGAAAAAATACCGTCGTAACAATGACGTCGAGCGCAGGTTTGGAACATGTTGTGGTTTATTTTTGCAACAGCTGGTTAAAATTAACCTGAATATTACCTTAATTTGAAAAAACTATTAAACTTGATATAAAGTATGAATAAGAATCCCTCGGTAACAGACTTAACGCGTACAAGGCATGCCAAAAATGTAAAATATCATTATTTCTTGACAGCATGAATGATTAACTTTATTTTTATAAACATGCTTACATAATAGTTAATTTTAGATAGTTGTACGCGATAGAAAAGGATTAGAAAACCATTATTATTTGTTTGTTTTGACTATATATTCTGTAAAATATCTGAGTTTTCAAATGCATTTGTTATTTTTAAACCAAATCAATGATATTTCCATAACCCAATCGGTTTTATTTGACATTATATCACAATGATATTTGACACCTGATAAGCCGACGTTCCCGATATTTATTTATTTTGATGAAAGAAATTTAAGTATTATGTAACCAAACTGAAACGCCCTTTAGAACTATTAGAATGCCCTTTCTATTTCGTTATGTTTAGTAACTTAAACCTTATACAAACAAGGGTGTGTTAAAGTTGTTTTGTATTAAAAGGTGTGATACATGTGTCATCGAGCTGTGCTACCGGGAAGCATATACAGCAAGCATTTATTGTGATGTAATTTTCTGAATTAAACCAAATTCTTGAATAGCTAGTCACGTTCATAAACGGGATGAAAATATAATGATGTAAACTCTCGATTTGCACCTGATGATTATAATATATTCACCTGTAAAATAGATAATAATATGTTACAAGAAATGTCCCGAAATATAACACATTCACATACAATGTAGAAGCTTCGGCGAATTACTGCCATCTGCTGCTTTTTGTTTTCTCTTTCTTCCGGATATTGGTTTGAAATAGTGATCGCATATTATGTTTACCCCATAATTCAATTCACCACGACATGAAACTTACCACTATAATATTCAATAGGTAAATCAACTCAAAATGATGTTCATTACTAAAACAAACACTTATTAGTAGTATTATATAAAGTTTATTAATATGTCAAGAGAAAAGTAAAAGGAGATTACAAATATGTGCTTTGTCTATTTTAATTCACTCAATACACGCTAAATGTTTCTGGCGACCATGTCTGCTAGAAATATTTCAAATTGCAATGTCAACATAATGGTGCAACTTGTGGTGATAAATGACATCAAGTCCTACTTTTGATCTGTACTTGGTATGTCCGGATCTGCATTGGCGTTAGTTTGACAACAAGACTGTCTGTTTGGTCCGTTGGTAACACTGGAGCGTCTGTAACGAAAAGAATCTCGTATAGATGCATTTATGTAAAATCTGTATTAGATAACGCAGCATCCACCCTAACAAACCGTGTTGAGAGGTATATGGTCTCACCTCCCTGACATGTAAGATAGCGGGATCCTTTGGTAATATATATTGTAGGATCCCGGTAAAACCAGTGTTATAGACAGTTGGTTTGTGGTATACAATCTTTCAGAATGTCACAGTATGTCGTTAAAATCAGGTGTCGATAAAAAAATAGGATTATCATCTATATACTACCTTATACCACCTAGCGGTAGCATGATAAATTCATTATCATTAGTTGTCAGTATGAGAAAAAGTTGAGAACGATTTGAGAATAACTTGAGAATAACTTGAGAACGGATTTTCCCATTCTCCAGCACTTGGGAACGCATTTTCTCATTCTCCATCACTTGAGAACGTATTTTCTCATTTTCCAGCTCTTGGGAACGTATTTTCTCATTCTCCAGCACTTGGGAACGTATTTTCTCATTCTCCAGCACTTGAGAACGTATTTTCTCATTCTCCAGCACTTGGGAACGTATTTTCTCATTCTCCAGCACTTGGGAACGTATTTTCTCATTCTCCAGCACTTGAGAACGTATTTTCCCATTCTCCAGCACTCGGGAACGTATTTTCTCATTCTCCAGCACTTGGGAACGTATTTTCTCATTCTCCAGCACTTGGGAACGTATTTTCTCATTCTCCAGCACTCGGGAACGTATTTTCTCATTCTCCAGCACTTGAGAATGTATTTTCTCAAAATGTTCTCATTGCTCGCACGTAGTTAAAATCTTGAGTCCACCTGCGGTGGCGTCTCGATTTTATCCACGTGCTCGCGATGAAAAAAAATGTTCTCCTGACAAACACTGAAAATACAGCGTGATAATCTATAGTTATGAATTACGTTAAATACAAAAATTGTCACAAATTGGTTGTTTCTAGAATATGTGTAATTTGTGTGACTCTCGTATGTAATATAAATCATACGATATGAAAATTATTTCGTTGTTTTTACGTGTTATTAACAGCTGTTGTCATTTAAGGACGATCCATGTTTTTGTGGAGGAGGAATTACGGAGTGCCAGGAGAGAAAAAAAACCCGACATGCTGTCAGTACCTGGCGACTGGTGCACGAACACCTCAAACCCGCGACCCAGTGGTGGAAGGCTAGTGATCGCATACGGTCAGACGCCTTAACCACCTGGCCACTGAGGCCCTTCTACCCGAAGACATATACAATACATATTTCAATATACAAATACTTAACAGTGACTCTTTCTATTCTCTGAGAATATCATCAAGATACTTTAGGTAAATGTGTAAATAGATATGCTGAGATTTACGCTACCATTCATGTTGACGTCGGTCGTGTTCCACTGAAGTCTGTGAAGATCCGACAAAGCCATATTAGCTCCCAGCGTTAATTCTGTCACCGAATCCACAGTGAATGTCACAAACAGACCCTGTTTAAGTAAATGTAAGGGAAAATGAAATGACATGACATAAACAGTCCACCGATGATCCACCGATAAGAACAGCATGTGAAACTTTATCAAATAACAAATGTAATTGGGTGATACCATAAGATTTAATTATGTGTATTAGTCTTTTCGTATAGGAAAGAGGCCTTTACAAAAAGACAAACAAACAAAACCAACAAAAGTAAACCGTAAATTGAACGCCAAATTAATATAACTAGGGCAAAAATATCAAAAAGAGAGCATTCACATGAAACCGTTCTTAAGGATAGGCGATTTCTGCTTCATCGACAACACCCGCTATGTACATCTACGTCGAATCCAAGTAACAAATTTGCATATGCCCGCTAAGCAACGAAATATGAGTGAAAACTGCAGGCAACACCCTCTCCTCTGCTAAATACTTGGACGATCATCCTGCCTTCCCCCTCTGTTTAGAATTCAACTCAGCTGTAACTTACATACACATATCGGTAATTTATCTGAAAGATCAAGTGAAGGAGATTGTCAAGTCTTGATTAATAGAATCATCGCTTACCTTGAGGGTGTGATGATGAAATATCCCCGCCGAGGGGCGATGGATTTTGAATGTCTAACTCGAGGCTCTGCCGAGGGTTAGACAACCAATAAAATCACCCCGAGGGTTGGAGATTTCTGTTACACCCTTAACGTAGGGAATGGTTATTTTTCTCCAATCCTATTACTTCAGTCAAAACTCCACCGACAGTAGTCTGCCATGTTTGTAAAATGAAACACACATGTAGGGTATACATATCGTCATTTACTTATGTTGACGTCACAATTACCGGTGACACATTTTAATGACGTCACAATTAAACAATAGCTAATCGGCACGAGGCTATCTCCCCCTAGGAGATGACAAGTTGATCTTTCCCGGATAAAATGGGATGCACACCTGTGAAGGGTGGGAGAAAAGCTCTTCAGCCTCATATGAAAAACAACATTCACAATAATAGGGAATCAGTTTGTTCGAATAGGAATATCTACAGTTTTACTGGCAATTCAAGCCGCCTAATCTTAACAAAGATAATATCAAACAGGCACTCAATCATTCTAACTATTCATCCTCAGTTTTCCACAGATATGCTAAAAAATTGTTTACATCTTCGTTCGCCTTTCTTGGAAAAAAATCTATCATAACAAGGTCACTTTCAAATGAGGAAAACAAATAATTTTACCTTTAAAATGGTTATAAGAATAGAAGCAGGATGTTTGCGACCGGTGATCAAACGCCTCTTTTTAGGACTCGGACAACGTAACCAGACAATCAGTAAAGTGTTCTTTACGATTGCAATCCCTATCTAAAATTTATTCACGTTAAATGCAATGCATTTGAGCAATTTAAAGGTGTAATGCTGATAGATGTTTTATTAAAAACAATTATTTACAGATATGTAACTTTTGAAAAAAAATAAAGTTTGAGTATATTTTATTTAATATGCAATGGCAGCTTCACACGTTAGGGGTGTTTTTGGCCCGCTTCACCGGTTTGGCTCTATACACTTCCGGTTCTCGAAAACAGAAGCTTGTACCGCTCTTTTATGCTATTAAAACCTGTCGAAAATGCCTTTTGAAGCCTTTGTTAGGTATGCATCTTTGAATCTAGACTTTTTGCACTAGTGTTGAGCTTCAAATATTTAAGATATTAGCTAAAAAACTAAGTTATCACATATACAAATGATGTGGTTGTGCGAGTGCTTTGAGTTAGGTAAAGTTGCGAAATCAAATACAAACAAGGCAGGTTTGTACCTTATCATCAATAGATATTTGGAAAGATTGTATAATAGAAGCGTGATGAGCTAGTATTTCGTTTTTTGAAACATTGACAAATGTCAAGGAAGGGTTTCCGAGGTTATCAAGCAAGGCTACTTCTTTTTGTAAGCATGATATTTCATAATGTTTGCAGTCATAGTTTGCGTGTAAACACAACTAAATACTTATAATAATGCAGATTGTTGAGTGCGGTTTGGATAAAATCGTGGAAGAAAACTACAAAATTGTGTTTTGTTTTTATTTTGAAGTTAAAGCCCTGAATTCTTTTTTGAATGATTGATGTGATAGTAAAACAAGGACAGTATAAAAATAAAAATAGACAAACGCACCTGGAGGTTGACTGTTGCATCCTTCGATAACTGTGAATGTTCACCGTTCTCAAATATATGCTCCAGTCGTATGATATAGGGTTGTGACGAGGAGGGGACAGCGCCCGGCCCTCCCCATTGCTCGAGTGTCAGCAAGTGTACATTGGCAGGTAGGGTATAATTAATGCCTGACCACTGTAAAAAAATGCCATAGGACAATGTAATGAATAATTTGTCGTTAATGTAAGCAAATATCTCAGATGATAAAACTAACCATAAGCATACAAGAAACGGATAGTTACTTATTTTCTTTAGGTAGTCATTGATACATATATAGATTTATTTTATTTCTTATTCAATGAAGAACCTTTTTTCTTTCTTTTTTCTTTTGCTTTCAATTCAACAATTTTATTTAAGATGGTATGTGAATCGGATTGAACATCATGCTACGCCTATCAACTATCTTCTTGATAAGTTTGTACATGTCGCCTCGAAAAATAGATTAAAGTAACGTAACAATCGAAAAAAAAACATCTGGTTGGATATTTCAATACTTTAAAGCTACGTGGATATCATTAATACAATACTTATATTTTAACTGTGAGATGGATCGGAATAACATAAGGAAAACTCATGGACAACACAATTATTACTGAACATCATGAATTACCACAGATATAAAACCAATTTTACATATAAATTATCAATGTGAGAAGCAAATACATGAATATTAATAAAATATTGACCTGATCGACTGTAACGTATATTTTAGTGATGCGTCTCCTCTATTTATTCCGAGAGTAATGACATACTTTCAAAGACGTCTTTCTTATTAGATGGAAAAAGTATGATATATTATGTTTTTTAACCTGTGTTTGAAAGTACTTGGTCCAGTTGGTATACTTCATAACATAAGGAATGAACGACAGTGAGGGTGCCATATACAAACGCAGCGCCATTTTGCGGTGAAATGCAGCCGATTCCTCGAATCCTCCAAGGAAGACGTAATGTTTACCTGTTTTAGAGAAGTTGTATAATATCAAAATATTGCTTGTGATTGAATGTATTTCGACATTTCGGAACATTAACAATTGCAAATAATATTTTTCAATGTAACTTTTACACAGGGAATTTTGGGTGGATTTTAAAATGGCGCATCAGTATGTACCGTTAGAGATTGATACATGCATGTATATATCGTAATTATATTTGAATATCTTCAGGGATGATTGGCATCTACGGTACCTCTGACGACTAGCCCTTTATGGTCAAGACCCGTCTCATTAAGGGGTTCTCCGACACCGAGTCCATCATCATACAACAGTCTCCGGTGTACCTGTAAATGTGATGTATTAAAATAACGAGGAATTGATATCGAGATGTAATAGCACAATTTATTGAATTATTATCACTGTAACCACAATAACTTTTATCCCAACAAATTGCATGTTTTTGGATGTTGCAGGTTTATTTAGTACAAACATATGAATATTTTATCAGTTACGTAAATATCCAACTAAGCTTGATAAACAAATATATATAAAACCAACAATTAGTAGACTTTGTCCGGCTAAACAAATAATCAAATATCGTCAAACAACTCTGATCTAATTCGACGCTATGAAACTGTCACGTGATTATACCGCCATCATTGAAGTCATTTTTGGGAAGGCTCTCTTCCAACCAAGTAGTTGGGATAAACAGTAAACGAAATTTAATAAATAAATAATTGTACACACTTCAGTATGAAATACACTTCACTCGTATTTCGGAATAGTAAAATACTAACTATAGTGCTTAGCACTCGAGAACATTGAATAGTGCTGGGTTTTTTTGTTTTGTTTTTTTGGGTTTTTTTATCGGTCATATCACATGTTGTCTATATATCGATATTACAATATGTTCCCTCTGAGTCTCACATCGCTTCTATCATCAAATTTTTATTTCTGTCAATGAATTGATATTCGATTACGATAGTTATGGATATACTCAATTTAACATTGAACACTAATTTGTTGTTTGCATAATAATATTTTACCTCTGAGCCTCACATCGCTTCTATATTTAATTGTCATTTCTGTCAACGAATTAATAATCAATTACGTCAGTTACTGATATGCTGAATTGAACACTAATTTGTTTTTTTAAGTTATGACCTTACCATCAGTTGAATACCTCCATCGATGATGCTACTGCCTCCCTGACTCCTATCGGTAAGAACCGTCAACTGGATACCCAGCGCCTCGTCCTGTCACCAGTTCACAAAAAAAGTAGAAACAAAGCTGCTATTTAACAAAGGAGAACGTAATATTGACGAATCGGCTTTTGAATTTAAAATACGTTATTAGGTTATTTTCATGGTTAATGGGCACATGAACCAAACGAAACAACAAGACATAGGAATGAGTGTAACTATACAGAAATAACATATTTCCCGATGATTGTGACGAAGACCGTAACCTGCTTCTTTGAAACCATATTTTTGTAAATTTTCCGTCAGCAGTCGACAACTACTTCATAGGCGATAGCGTTTGAATGCTGAATTAGCTAAGACATGATCACACTGGAGGTTGGGAGCAAGGGGAGTGCTACTATGAGATTGAAAATTTACGATCGGAAACCACTTATCGTACACTTCATAAGTACGTCGTCCCTGTTGGTCATGTTGTAAGTAGCGATCGAGATCAAATCTAATGTAGAAGACAGGGTAGTGCTCTTGATCCTAATTCTAAAAGGATGTATATGATATATTTCTTGTACTTCAAATATTAATTCAACTTATGTACTTTATACCTATTTATTATGTGGAATTCTTTAAATTAACGTATTTTTGAGGGTTTCTTTTTCCGTATAATTTCGCTGTCACCTCAGTACCGATTGATGTCTTTTGTTGTAATAATTCAGCGATAATGGTTGTTTTACTGAGTTAAATATAAAAGTATTATTGTATTGTTAATTCAATGTAAAATTACTGATATGCTGTAATAAAAAAACAACAACAACATAATATTAAATAGTGCCTCTGTATAATATTAGTTTTAAAAATACCTATTATCACAATTGTTAGTGTAGCATCACTTTCTCAATGGTTTCTTATAGTTTAACAATAAGCAGTGATATACATCACTCCTTTTAACTATTATGATGTATCATCTCGGTACACTGACATTGCAAATAACAAAATATAATAGAACAATGTAAAAGGCACGGTCTTACCTTCACATAAATGCGGCTGTTAACAGGATAGAAGTTTCCAGCAATGGGTTCCGTCTGTTTCAAAAGCCAAGTGGCTCGCTCATTCCGTCTTGTTGTTCGAATTTAGATAAAACAATTTACACATTACACTACTGGGTTTGTCAATGAAATTGTGTCATTTATACCCGTAACTTGTTGCAATGTATAATTATTTGTCATTAAATATTTAACAAATAGCACGTCTAATACTATCTGTTATTAAATCTTATGCAGTGGAAGGGAGATAAATCTAAATGTTTTACGATCAGTACCCATGTGAATTCCCTGCCCATTTTGATTTTTTTATTGATTTAACTCTATAACAATATCTGTTACTTAAGTAATTTTACTCGTGCAACTTTCTTACCATGGACACTTATACTTCAGTCAATGAACGTATATCATGATATCAATATCTTGGAATTGTTCGATATGTTCAGCTAACGTACAAGTTATTAAATAGTAATTTTCTCATTCAAGATTATTAATGTTTAAGTTAAAAACGCATTCCGGATTATATTTTGGCAATATATTTGTTAGTAATGCCTAGATATTCATGTAGCGTACAAACTTACTGTCGTTTTAGGATCTCCCGGCCATTAGCATCAGTGTAAAAGGATCCCTTTGTGTCCAGCGTGGAAAGGAACGCAGATGCCACCTCCTTTCCAACACCGTCACTATATCATAACGTTACAATCAAGTATTCAGTTGGACGGTTAAGTGTGAAAATAACCGTTATTTGTCTCAGTAGAACGTATCAATTTTATATTCACTGTAAAACCTTTATATTTCACTAGAAGTTTTCATTCAGATATATTCATTGATTAAATCAACATGCTACATTCTGTTTCAACTGATGAAATGTTTCGCAGGCTTTATTTACATAAGATGTGCACTATTTAATATGTCAAATCAGCATTATTTCTGACCTTCCCATTAATCTATACATAGTCTAAGTTAATTGTGTAACCTATTTCCCTTATAATTAATAACATATTAATATTTCATCACAATAAAATATTGAATAAGCATGGTATCGACCATATTTTGATGACTTGTAATTTTACCTATCGATAGGTAATATCATTTAAACGAATTGCAGCCAAACCAGAAGTCGGTCGTCCCAAAAGCATATGAGTAAATATGTCGATAAACTTGTAAAGATATATGAGGATATCGATATACAATGAAAGAGGGTAATTAATATGTGCCTTTTTAATATGACTTTCCCAGTATTTTATTTTTCGGGTGTGGGGACAGAGTTGGTTCTAGAATGACTTACGCAATTGGAATTGGCCCGACTGTCCACTCGAACTCGGCATGCATCTCACCCTCATACAGACGGATAACTTGTGTTACCCATGGAGAGAAAGTTTGGTGTACTTCCTGAACAACCCTCCCCTGAAAAAATAAATCTGCCATTATGAATCGTACATCTTAAAACTGTTAAAACCTCAAAATTACATTATACTGAAAAAACTTGAAGCTGCCATTATGAGTCGTACATTTTAAAACTGTTTCAACCTCAAAAATAATTTTGTATTGAAATAAATTAAAGCAGCCTTGTGAGTCGCACGTGTTTAAACTGTGATTATTTTTTTGATTTTTTTGGCAATATTCAAATAATTAATTGTTCAAATATTTTATCAAAATCATTGATGATACTTTTCATTGAACAACAGCAAAAAACATATATAGAAATAAAAAAAATAAAAAACGGAGGAGAAAAACTTACCTCTCTCACGTAGGACTTCTCAAATTGCTTGCTTTTGAATGCTTTTGTACTGTTTGGCCTAAAAACGTATGCACCTGATGCCTGAAAGATGTCTTCGGTGTTGTTGCCTGTATGCCCTTGGTAGCAGTAAAAGCCTTGTTGCAGGCCTATCTCTATATCACTGTTGAGGTTTCGCATTCTCTTCAGACGCCCATTGGTGCCATCGAATGTCAGGCTGACGTGCTGGAATAAAATGTTCCTTTTATGGACGTTGGAAACGCTATTTTCTCATTTAATAACAAAAAAGCAATTTATTATTTTAATCAGGACTTGTTTGTTTTTTACAAACCGAACCTTTCCTCTAATACAGTGGACATGTATGATCAGATAAACATGTACTCTTTGCCGGAAAAATGTTTGCAATTGAATTTCGTGCTTTTCGCTCTCTGTAATGAGGGCGAATTTATCATGACAGGGAATATTTTAAACCAGCATATGATACACAGTTAAAGAGCAAAATAAACACCTGGCGAATTTAGATTCTACCAGCCAATGGCGAACATAAAGTATGTGCTCTCACATTCCTCATAAGTACTTACTTCGATATAACACTCCAAAAAGATGAAGATCACAACATTTGTTTCATATAAGCAAAAGCTCGGGAGAGCGTATCTATAATTATATCTAGCTATTCTATATTGCATTTCAGAAGTTGGATATTAATATAGTTCTGTATTGATATATACGACATATCATTTGTTTTCACAAACATGTCAATTTCAAATTGTTCTTCTACACGTCGGAATGAATGGTTGGTGACTGCTTACCTCATTTTTCAAGACTGTATCCGTACCTTCTTTGTTCTTTATCAACCTCTTTTTGCTGGTAGTTTGTGCAAACTTTACTCGTGCCTCTATCAAAGAAGAAAAATCAAACAATTCACTTTCCGGAATAACAACATTCAGTTTTTGAAAATTAATTGAAGTAATAATAAATTCTACAAGTTGTAGTTCGCTTTAGGGAAGGAACCTTCAAACAGCTTAAATTTTAGCTAAAATATGATTTTGTACAGATTTACTTGGATTTATTGCAATTTTTATTTTTGTGAACTCTGTTAGATTCTTAGATCATGATAAATGCAGAGGACTTAAGTCAATTATTCAAATGACAAAAAAATTCAAGTGCAGAGAAGTATTCTATATATTAAATATCAAACATATTTATATTAACTAGATTAAAGTAAAAAAATGTACAAGCAAACTCACTGTTACTCTTTTTAATGAAGTAGACACTGAATCCAAGAGCGGGGACACTTGTTTTGAACACCAGTTCATTCTGAGCGATAGATCCTTGCCTTTCTGGAATACGTTTTGTATCCTTGGTCAAAGGTATTACCTTAAACAAAATATTAAATTTGTCATAATATATGAGAGTTCTAACACTGGTATTTTGTTTTATTTCATTTTTTTACTTAAAATGTAGGCAAATGTAAACTTTGGTCGCGACAAATATTTAACTACGTCCTTTATTTATGTTTAAATAAAACAACAAAGCGAATTTTAATAAAACAGTAATACAACTGAATTTTATAATGCAAAACTGTAATTGTAATGCAAAACTGACTCGAGGCAATCGGGTTGCGAAGTGGATAGCGCACACGCCTTTCAACGACATGGCCAGGTTCGATTTCCAGATCGTACATGAAAAGGTATGTGGTCATCTGCCCAACCATATTGGTGTTTCCGGGTACTCAAGGACTCTGGTTTCCTGCAATATTAAGACCCCTGTCCGCTACCATCTGGGCCAACAATAGCGATTTATATAAGTAGATTGAACTAGTTTCGCACTTGTTGGAAAAACAAAAGCTTGTTTTAAACTGATTGGTCTCTAACTTTGTTGTTTTTGGTTTACCTGTGAGGGAACACTGCTGTCATCATGCCCCTTTACTTCATATGCTTTACCAACCACAGGGATCCGGACCCATGATGTAACAGCTTGTCCTAGGGGATTATACACCGTCAATGTAAACTAAAATATAAATAAATGTAGATATAACATAACATGAAAAGGGGCGAATCGCCCTGAATATTTTACAAATTTCTTTGACTGCAGTGTCGTTATTACGTCTTTGCCCATTTTTATATGAAGCTATTATATATATTTGTAAACGTTCATACCATTTTAAGCGCATTAATTTCAAAGAATTGTTAAACAGTTTTATTGTTCAATATTTTAGTAACTGTCTGTAAATACATTCTAACGTATACCATTACAATAATTAAACACTTGCAATGCTACCAAAATTGAAATAAATGAATTGCTCTCTAACTTTTGAATTGGTAAAGGGATTTTTTTACCTTTGGATAACAGCGCAAATAATACATACACATACCTGCTTGTAGTTTTCCGTCAGTCCACAAACGCTGATGTTCAGTGAGTTACAGAACTGCTGACCTGGAGGTGACACTGATGTATTGAATGGACTTAGTTTGCCAAATGCGTCGTTGACAACTTTCTGGAATATTTGTTTACCACCATAATATGTTAAAATAAAAAATATGATTAGTTTGTATCCAAATACGATGACCATGTGTTATTAGAACGTTTAATGAAAAACGTACGTCCGTTGTATGGAATAATAATATAGAATACCAGATACTGTGAATGTGTCTGAGATTGACTCTTCAAAAATTTCCGTGGATTAATAAAAAGGTGAACCAATTGTTTTTGCGGATGTTGAATAAAACTATGATAAATGAGCCCCCTTTTTTTTTCTTTAAAACTATTTTATATGATATTTTTTTAATTTGAGAAATAGTAAGAAACTTTGAACTAGACAGATAAAGACAATGAAATAGATTAAAATGCTATCGACACCAAAAGAAATGGGTAAAACTGGAGAATTCCGACTGCTGTAATTAATATAAGTAAACTACCACATCCATTTAATGAATAACTTGTATTTACAGTATTTTTCGGGTTACCTGACACTCTGCAACACCACGTGCTAGCCTCTGTGCATAGTCATAGGCAACTGGCTGCTTTTCTGTTCCACTAAAACAACAAAGCAATGAGTTATTTTAACGGAAACATTACTTTTCTCATTTTAAAACGTGAACAATTCATTTTACAGGTAAAACTATCAATAAATTAAGAGTTGGTATATTTCTTTTTTACAGCCTTTAAATTTTGGTCATACTTCAATTCACAGAACACTATAGAGAGGCTCATTTTAATGAATAGTTTGTATTTACAGCAGTTTTCGGTTTACCTGCCACTCTGCAAAACCACGTGCATTATAATTTATTTCAAACCAGCTACAGTTGTGTATCAGGTTTCAAAAGCATCATCAACACAAGAAATACCTCAATAAGTTGACAGGACATGAAGTGTTAGACTACATTGCCTTCCATAGATTTCTATTTTCCACCAGGCTTCGCTTCGCAAATTAGTATCAAACAAAGCAGCCTAGCGTCGTGAAATAGTACAAACACAGGTAATACAGTCTAGTAAAATGTATGGATTATTAATGACAACTAATCAGCGATGCTTGTTGCTAGGTGATGAAGTCGCAAACGTGTCAAATAAAAAAAGCAAAACAGTTATTTTAAATCAGAAAAATAGAATGGTTGGAAATGTTGGTGTTGTAAAGTAGTTATTTTGTTGTCTGTGGTCTTCAGCAAGTCTGATATGTTTTGATCTGTGGTCAATAGCTTGAAGACTTGCTCACGTCAATAAATAAACAGATATATAACTGATAATTAGAAAGACTGACAGGTAGTCTAGTGCAGTTGATTCTTAATTTACACATCGGAATTTAGATACTCGAATATCACCTAAAGAGATGTCAAGTTATAGTGCCATTATGATAAAAAAATAAAAACATAGAAAGATCTTAGTTTTCTTCTATTGTCTTTTATGTTCCAGATGGAATCATATTTATTGCATATGAATTTAGATTTTGAATTTTGATAAATGGAAATATATTTTCCCCCATGGACGTATAAACCATTTACAAGTGTGTACTTACAGACAATGTTTGTTTTCAAAAATATGTCGCAAAGTTGTGAGTATATGATCTGTAGGGGTCGGTTAGAGATTATCCTGATAACGTTTACCACAAATACTGTAAAAGTGGATTTTACGTGTGGGAATGTTAGCGTAGTGACCTTTTAAACTGATTGAGGTGTGGACATTTTTTTGGCAAACATTCTTAAATATACATAATCATAGCTTATCATATGTTATCTATAATCCATATAATCTATAAATTATTGTGCCCGTGTGGATATTTTCGCGCTATCTTAATCAACGCGAAAAAAATGCGAACATTTCCACACCGCGGAAATTCTCTCTATTCAGTTTAACTTACGAAACAGCATCATGATGTTGAGCAACTCCCATCGCTTCCTCTGTAATAATTAGAAATATATTTTTTTCAAGAAAAGAATATATAAAAATTAATTCATTGATAAATGAGATAAACTAAGGCAGTATATGACAGATCGGGAACAATAAAATAGTTTCTTATTTTCGGTTAGACAATATCTATATATTTTGTAAATCTAATTGTTGTTGTTTTAGAAACATCGCCAAGATTATTAAGGGACAACAAATAAACTCTGTTAAAGACATCCAGCTTACACTATTTAGACACACCAAATCAGACACATTGTAAAGACATTCAGCATACACTCTTTAGACACACCAACTCAGACACACTGTAAAGAAATCAAGTATCTATAATATTGCGACATTATATAGGTACTATTAAGATACATCTAATATGCATTTTTTAGAAATATCCCGCATACGTTTTTATAAGACCTTAAAAAAAAAAAAAAAAAAAAAAAAATATACAACATAGCGCCCTATCTAGCAAACATAAGCCACTCTAAAGCGCTTTACAGTACATAGATATACAGTTGTTTTATACAGTCAATAAATTAGCATAAATATATTATCAATACAATATTGAGGAATTCACAGGAGCTGCCCTATCAGGCGCTAACTACTAGTCATATGCCACCTGGCTATTATATCCCTATGTATGTATGCCTGTGTGTGTGCTGGAGATGTATTGTGTTCTGTTTGTAGTGGGACCGTGCTTCCAATGGTATCATTTATAGTGCCACCTCACTTGAATGCTACAGCACAGATACCGCAACACCCACCCCAGACCATTTTATACTCCACCTGGGTTGTTGGAGTTATGTGGGCAGGAGAAAAACACTTTTTCTTAATATTCCATGCGTACGGCGACTTCGGGGATCGAACCCCGGCCGCCTGCTTGAAATGCCGGAGTGTTAACCACTCAACCAATCCGCCCATAATTTAGAGGCATAAAGCAGACATTATTGAGCAATTTTAGACTTACTGAGAATCTGGATTTCGTAAGTGCTGTTGTCGGTGTCACGAAGCATAGCAATGGCGTCCATTTGCTTACACACCTTCGATGAGGAAAAATTATGATATATCACAGAGTATTACATCATTATAACCTTGTTTAACTAAACTCTGTAAAGTTTAACCCTCTTAATCATATTTATGTTTAGTGACGTGCCGATAATCCAAATTCTGCAAAGCGTAATCTAACTTATTTAAGATATTTACACTGTTTAAAATATATTATCAACAATTTTGTACATGGTAAACGCCTTAATCAAAATCTGTATAGTATAACGTCGTTAATTAAACTTTGTTAAGTTTAGCTGAGTAAATCCATGAAGTAAATCCTTTGTAATTCTAGTTATTATCATAACATCGTTAAATTTAACTCTGGAATGGATAACCTCGTTAATGAAAACTCAGTTAAGTGTATTCTTGACACATCAATTATTTAAAGTTTAAAATTCGTGAATAAAAAGTCTGAAAAGTGGAACCAAACAAATTAAAAATCTGTATAAACTTACTTATCCATTATTTCAAAGTCTGTTCAATACATCTCTGCTAATTCAAATGTAGATATTCTTTATAACCACCATACATGCAAATCTATATTACATGTTTGCGCGTTTATTAAATCAATTCAAACTGTCGAATTAGCTGATACTGTATTTTGTGGTGTTTAGTACCTGTAAGAAGTTGTTTGTTCGCCTGACGTACTCCTTGAGCGCTGGACGACTGGAGAAGTAGCCTGTCCAGAAACTGTGAGCGCGATGAGCATACGGGAAGAAATCGTCCTCTTTTGTAGGCCAACGAATGCCCGCCTTATTGAGGCTGGACAGGTAACACGAGGGGGTGGAGTACAGCACGTTCACTTTCGATGTGTTTGACTGTAAAATATATCATAAATTAAGTCAAATTTCAGAGTAGCGAGATTTTAAAATGGCTTAATCATCAGTTGTCACCAACACATACAAACGTTAAAACAACAATAATGACTTTAGTGCACCAGACATGGCAATTTCAGTTAATAGTGTTTCTTCAGTGATAAAGTGTTATAAAATTTCTTCGAGCTTTCAGAACAGAGATATTGTGTCGGTATATGGAATGGAAAAAGGTAGAGGATCTCCCGAAGGGCATTGTAACTATCCTTTAAATGCACACGATGCTATTTTTAAATACAAACATACAATCATGACAAAACATTTGTACACATGTACTTCTACGTATTGCAATCACTTAAACATCATTACGAAAAGTATTACAGCTTAATCGTTGAGTATGCTAGTAATCAATAAATAGTATAAACATTAATATGTTTAAGTGAGCACCTACAAAACGTTAATTCACCTATGTCTGCTTGTGCTCATACATGTTCCGCATCTAGTGACTGATATTTATTTAAACCAAATTATTAATTTTCATTGAATAAGATAAACCTTCCAAAATTTGAATATATACTAACTCGAGTTAAATAACTAATACACTCAACGTTCACGAGTTATGGAACCTTTGCCATACACAATTGTCTATGGCAATGGCTAGTGATCGACATAATTGTTTTACAAACATCGGACCAAACCGCGTAAGGATATGTTTGAGATGATAAGTAAATGTTTCATGGACAAAATAACACAGCTACGTCTGTACAGCTCTATACCTAGTTTACACTATGCTTATGTATGTTGGTAGATTCTTACTAATTCTCAAGTACCGTAAAGTTAACAACATGTAATCTATGGTACTACTTGCGCATTAATATCCGTAATGGAGGAACACTTAGTCAAAGGGAAACAAGCTATAAACCGACACGTTACATATTTCGGGATTTTTTCTAATCTAAGCGACGAGACGTTGTTTGCCACTGATGTTGAACCAACCCCTCTTCCATTAAGTGGATAACATGGGCAGTTGTGATAAAAGAGACATCTTGCTTATGTGTTTACATCAAAATGAATATTAAAACGTCACTTACCTGTTTGTTGACATGTTTTATCAGCTTGTCAAGATTCTTGAACCAGGCATTCGCGCTCTGATAGTTGAAGTCACTTCCCATAGGCATGAGTACATGTTTTGTGGCATATGCGAGGGCCTGTAGTACAAATGTCGTGTAAGCATATATCATCACCTTATATACTTGTATTTGCAAATAAATAAACGGTTTCTCTGATGTGATGAAATAAAGTGTATCTTGAGCCATTCATAACATGTACGGTAAATATATCGTTTAACCAAAAAACGTAGTTATTCTTTGAATATATATACTCACCCATTCCTTGGAGGCGTTCACGAACATTTCTACCTTTTGTGGTACATTGTAGTCTTGCATGCGGTCATCGTCCTGTAAAAATAGTTAAATAAGACACAGCAAACTGAAATTCGACACAAGATAATCAAGAAATCAGGAAATGTGTTAAAATCATTTTTCAATGGTCAAGCAACCAGAGTATTGTTTTAAACTACAACATTGCAACATAAAGAACTTAATATTTAATTGAGTATTTAAATCAATTTTGTGATTTAAGACATTAAGTTTTCAGCACATTTTATTTTTGAACCGGAGCCATGTATGACTTTATCTTACGGATGCATTACATGTTTATATCACAGATAAAGCCATCATCGATGTATTCAATCTTACCATTATGGGATCATCGGAACACAGAAGATCAAAGCAGAACCCTTTAGGGGGGCCGTACCCTCTAAACAAGGCACCAGTGAATAAATCCGAAGTCTTTTCTGTGAGCAAAAAATAATAAACACTACTTTCAACTAAGGTAGTATATTATAATTTAATGCAGGTCTTCTTCAGGAGATAAAAAATGTATTATGTTTAGACTAGGAATTTATCGACGAATATTACTGCAATAGTTTATTCTTAATAAAACAATAATTAAATACTAATGTGTAACATTTTCATATAAAGAAACCAGACAATCTTACTTAGATTTGAAGGGCTCCCCTTCCACACCATCTCCATGGTCTTGGATATGGCCCTCACAAACTTATCTTGGTAGTCCAGGCGTCCAAAGAATAATCCGTCAAATCCCATCTATAAAGGAGGATATCATGCTTGTTAAAATTGACTTAAAAAATTGAAACACAAACCACAAAAGGGACATTTACGTGCGATACTGAATGATATGAATCATAACAGTAAATACACTAGAACAGAATGTAAGATTATGAAAACAAGAATAGAAATAACAAAGATATCATCTATTTGCATGCATGTATGAGAAATCCACATAAAAAGAGTTATTCTTGAATTAATATAATATATAGATATGACATATAAACAAAACTCAATTACGATTTTCTTTTCTTTTTTCGTACATTCAGCGGCAAATATTTTCATGTACTGTCTTACCTGAGCAAACAGTGAGGCCTGTTCCCGAGAGTGGCCGAAGGGGTCGATCTGCCATGCGACTCGGGGTCGACCACAATCCCCAAAGTTATGTCTGAGGAACTCGAATCCGAGGGTGTGTTGGTCTATGATGGCGTTATAGTGAGTGGAGGCCTCGTCATTCATACACCAACCACCAAGGATAAACTCCAGCTGACCTATAGATAACAGTGTAATGCAACATAACACACCAAACGTCAAAGCAAGCATTGGTAGAATTTCAAATAATATTGTATATTATAGTTGTCATTTAATTCAGCAGTTACTCTTGTCAACCTAACAATGCTAAAATAAATTGTAATCATTATATGTCTAGCGTTCAATATGTCAATATATTTGTCCACGTCCAGAAAAAAAAAACACCATAAAAAGTTACTGACAAAAGGAAAACAAAATAGTGTATATGACAACAAAAGCAAACTCATTACTTACCCCTTCAAAAGCAAAGCTCTTGAAGAGTGTCTCCTGAAAAAAACACTGTCTGAGAAAAATAAAACACCTTAACCAGCGATTCAAAGTATTCGACTTATAGCATCCATCACTCTTGTATGATGTAGACACAACAAATCTCAACCCGAGGGTAATATTTTTAAGTGTTGCTCGAGACATTGTCTGGTACTGAACTTTAAACAGCATTACCCGATGGTCTGTCGGCATTACATAGGAGTGATTTAATACTTTTCATTCAAAATTTCTTGCTAAAATATCAGATGTAACGATGAAAAAATGCAACGCACCATCATTAAGGGTACAAAACATGTGTGACAAAACATGATGCGGCTATCCTGGTCACACTGCATACAGTGATGAGGCGGAATAATATGTACGCTGTAGGTAAAGACAGATTAATATTTACCCTAGCAAAAACGGGAGTGTAGAACTGTGGCAGAAAATGTACTTACCCAAGACAACTTCTGGAAGTTACAATTTGGGAAAGTACATTTTGATGCCGACAGCACGCCTACCTATCGTTAATAGACCACATACACAACATAGTTCTCAAAGAACACCATATATAAATAATTATATTAAATCATAGCGAAGGTTCAGTCAGGCTTTTGAGATATTTGGATGCACTCTGGGTAAATGTCTTTTCATGCCGAATGTGTGTTATCCCTGCGTGTTGGTGTTATGAAATGGTATATTTCGTACTAAAATAATTACCTTCTTGACAATTTCATGTGTGATTCATGTTGATATATTATAGAGTAACTACACCATTTAATTATTTGTCCGGAACCTTACCCTGGTTGACGAGACGTTTGACGGTATGACGCATGCTGTCACCCTGCTGTCGCCACCACCTAGCGAAGAACGCCATCTCTACGTAGATAAACCTCTTGTTGGGATCTTTGATGAGCTCTGGTATGACTGCGTCTAAAATGTACTGTACTCCAGCACGCTGAATGTCGGACTTGTCTGTAATTAAACATATCAAACATGACAGGAATATATAAATGGTAAAGAAGATAAGGTTAATCACCGAAAATTTCAACCCTCCGATTAGTCATTTCAAAGACCTCATTTGAAATTCAGAATCCATATATGTAATTTGAATATATATGGAACTTATACACGAACTATTCTAAAAAAGGTAAATATCGATGTTATCTAGTCAATAATATTACATTAAGTCAGATGTCTTCATTAGAATAGTCAACTAGACTTATAACATGTCAATCTAACTTTCGTCTGCATGCTATCCCTTATTACTGACTACATTGACCTCATCCACCTCGTTGGGTATCATTTTTACAGCTAATATACAAGTTCAATATACAGCAGCTGTATACATTAGCAAATAACATATTTGAGTTCTGATAGTTAATTTTGGTCTTTGAATATGATTTATCAGGGGCTTGGATGTTTTGGTGACGAAAAAATAGATTAGGGGGCTTGTTGAACCTTAATTGAATGAATATTTATTTTAATGTTACATAGTTGAAGCCAAAAGTTAATCATTTATAACAATTTTAGTTTTTTTATAGGCGTCTTTCCCTTTTCGCTGTATTTTTACATTATGTTTGACTCTGACATGACTTTTTCATTCTTTTGGCCTTTAGTAACATAGATGAGTCTTGAATAGACGAAATTGTATCATCGTGTAGAAAGTGTTTACTTTCTAAACAAATTTTAATAGTTACATAATAAATCTTAAGGGCTAGACTTTTTATCGTTCTCTAACCTGACGTGTTTGTCAGTTAATGCATCACTCAATATGACTAGTCTTAAAATGCGATGCAATACCAAAACAATTTGTCCAATAAACAGTATTCTATAAATAGAACTTTACCTCCATAGAAGTATTGGTCGACCGTCTTTAGCCAGCCTACGTCATCATGTGTGTGGGGTACCAGATGGACATTGATCATCCCTTCCTTCACTGCATTACAGCTCTTCAATGAGATTTTAGCTTCATTATGCCATTTTGACCATACAGAAATATGTGTTTTCGCAATACAGCTTTGTGATTGGCTATGTAGAATTCAAACTTTATCGTTTCTAAATTTGTCTCTGCCAAAAAATGTACTTTGTTTCGTCTTTACCCTATTTGATTTGTTGCAAAAGTTTATGTCATTTAGATTAATTAGGACACCAAATCGATTCCGTCCAAATTGTGTTAATTTTTGTGTGGACATTCCAAACAGGTTTTTTATTTATGATTTCTACAACGAACAGTGAAAAATGGTTCTAGCTCATTTTATGAAATTATTAACAGCATTCTTAATTAACGCACGTCAGATTATATCATACTCACCTCATACCCACAGGTAGCGGCACTGTCTACAGCTTGAAGGAAGAAGACGACTAAAATACCAAAGAGAGGATAAACTGAAAGCCTAGCCATATTGATATAGCTGGTAGACTGAAAGAGTCAGTTCTCGACTAAGCTCCTCCGGCGGGGATGGTGACCTCAGACTCTGGTGCACCGAGCGTTCCTCTACTTAAAGCTACTTATACAGGGTCTTCTCGCCACATCAACAAGGGGTCAAAAGGTCAAAAAGTCGGATTGTGTACATGCAAACATTTAGCAACCTCAAAATAGGGAACATGCAAATTAAAGGGACTTTATGAAACACTTTATTGTTTTTAATAATTAATCTAAAAATTACTTTTTTCATCAAATCGGTGTTTAATTGAAATTACATTGCGGTTCGAATTTCATTATCCTGCTTTTATATCAAATTTAAACGATAAACCCTTGTTTGCCTCTCGGGCACTTCATTGGAGAGAAAATATAGGAAACAACAGTTTATAACCGCTTCAAGCCAGCGTGTGTCACGCCATATCCGGTGAAATATGATAAGTTCATTTGCTTGACACTGTGAAAATAAACAACCTGAAGATTTACAATTGTGCTATTTCCTTCCCATTTCTTAAACGCATTAAAATACATGCGAAGAAAATATCGCAAAGTGTCATCACCTAATTTTAGCCCTTAAATGTATCTGTAATGTAACACGTAATTTCAAAATGTTGCAAATGTTGCACTTTCACTGATGATAAATGCAAACATGTATAATTTGCATAAATAAAATTAATAAAACGTAATATAATGTGAATTTACAAAGTTATTAAATAAAGCACGCACGCTTTGTTTAACGGGGCATTTTAACTCAAAGTTTACCGCCTACGAGAAAATTGTATTTCAATGTCACATACCCCTTAATAACAACAAGAACTATACAAACATAATATCAAAACGACGATATCAAAAGACAAAATAGAAACACGAAGTCGTCCGAAAAGACGCCAGGAGCTGCAGAAACATCGAACCAAAAGGAACTGCGACATAAACACCATAGAAACGGAGTTAAAACATGTGAGTTAGATGGATAAGTCTTTCCTGCACCACAAGTGGCACCTGTAGTTTTGCATGGCATTAGAAACAAAGCAGAGTATATCAAATGGTTATACAACACAAAATATATGTTTTATCTACCTGTGTATATTCGTATATGCTGTGCGTATACACCGTCTCTTACATCGATATCATAAACAAATATACAACTGACTGTCTGTGTTGACATATCTACTATGATTTCTTAAATATAAACTCTATGTACACAGTGTCTTTTATCTCTTATATGTATAGATAAACGTAACAACATAGCGTTATCACAACAATCCGACATTATAGTCACAATATACTAAGTCAGACATGTTGCTCCCCTTACTCCCAGTTTTCCTAGGTGCAGTCCTCCCCTTGAGGAGTGAGGCACGCCCGGAGTTCACGTGGAGGAGCGAACAGGAACATGCAGCAACATGCGGCTATAATGTAGGCATCAGCAGAATATCAAAAGCAGGAACGACTGGTATCTCGTATACCTTCGTTGTTGTCCGTTTATTTTTATGATATACGTGGTGTTGATTTACATTATTTATATACTTTGTTGTCCCTTTGTGTGTTTGACGTTGTAGTTCTACGAAACGATTTGTTTTGTATTATTTGTTATGTTTAATATTTTGCTTTGTGTGTTTATTTGTTTATAAGTGGGGATGATAATTGATGTGTATATATTCTAATCCATACATTTAAAATAAACTGTTAGATTGTATTGTTCGTTTATTGTTCGTTTCTTTGTAAAGGCTCCATCGAATGTTTATGGAATGATGTTGTGCCACTTTGTCTCGTTATGATAGGATACGATTCTACATTATTTCTGCCTCTTTGTATATCATACTTTGTCTTCTATGACATGACGACGTTGCTCTAGATATAATTTTGCCTTGTTGTATGTTTTACATTGCCCCTTATAATAGGATGTTCTGATATCTTGTTATTACGAATCTTCTAACGTTCTGCTAATATCAGATAACATTTTCTGTTTTCCCATGTCCTAAACGCGTATGACATTGATATTCTCCTATCCTTCACATGTGTCTCTCTCGTTTTAGCCAGTTAAGCACATCTTGTCACCCTTTAGACGAAAATATCCTCGTGCAGAAAAGCAGGCGCTCAACTATGACGTCATAAAAAGTGAATGACGATATTCAAACGCCACATGTGCATCCCCCACTCTGAGAGTGAAACAGTGATATATCTAACCCTCGGGATGATTGTTAACCTCGAGTTAGCCAACCAAAATAATCACCCTCGGCTTGGAGATTTATTTGTCACATTCTCAAAGTAGCAGAAAATTGTTTTAGTCCATTCCATGTATCAGTATTTTCTAAAATGAATACAATAATATCGGTACGTTTTTATCTCTTATTGCAGTCCTGTCCTCAGACACGAGATGACATGATGAATGTCCATTTGATACCTCATACACACGATGACGTCGGCTGGCTAAAGACGGTTGATCAGTACTATTATGGAGGCAAGTCATCAAATATACTAGCATAGTAGTAATACATATCCTCTCTCTATGAAAGATTTTGTCGGATTGGTATCAAAAGAGCATACAATTATGTTTAATGTACCGATTTGTCAAGCCTGTTGGTTGATTTAGAAAATAGGCAATCATCAATTAAGCTTATTTTGATTTGTTAATTCAAGCTTTATATTCTCCATCATAAACATTAAATATTTAAAAAAAAATCATCTACCTGACAAAACATAATTTAAATAGACTTATCTTATTCTGTAATTGTAAATACAAAAAGGTGACACGAAATTATCTGTAATACTATAGCACAGAAAATATGTTTGATTAACGATAACTTACATATATGCTGCTCTTTCATAAGCACTGGGATTTTTCAACGATTTTACAATTTAATTTTTGATATATTCTCTGGCGCTGCTGTTTTCATCGTTTTTCAACGTTTCAAATAACCGACTTTAAGTTGTCGTAGTGGTATACAACCTGTTTTTATCTCCAGACCAGAACTCCATACAGACTGCAGGAGTACAGTACATCCTTGACTCCGTCATTCCGGAGTTGTTACGGGACCCATCCAAAAGGTTCATTTATGTGGAGGTGGCCTTCTTCGCGAAATGGTGGCGAGAACAGGACAATGCCACGCGCGAAAGCGTCCAAAATCTCGTCAATCAAGGTTCATTGATATATCACTTAAACTTAACCAATATATCTCTATAAACTTCATAGACACAAACACAGACGCACACAAACATATTTGAAGCAGGTATTATGACGCCACATATTAGATCGCTTAGGTAAGACCATCGTTATGCATTTCTATTGCTATTACGAACTATTATGTGACATCATAGTTTATGACGTCATTATATCTGCTTCAAATATACAGTTTGAAGAATCTCCTAAAAGAGATAAAGCGCTAAAGACGTATTGATGAGATTTTGTTCTTTTCATATTAAATATATATATATGCGTGCGTGCTTGTGTTCGGTTATAGATTTCCCTGTTTGTTTGTTGCATATAGACAGGTCAGCTAGATATCATATGCTATCCCGACTGGTTTGCTTATAATTACTTGTAAATACAGATTTCGTTATTTTGATTATTCTACTGTGCTATTATTTATAGGTCGACTAGAGTTTATCCTTGGTGGTTGGTGCATGAATGATGAGGCCTCCACTCACTATAACGCCATCATAGACCAACACACCCTCGGATTCGAGTTCCTCAGACAGAACTTTGGGGACTGTGGTCGACCCCGAGTCGCATGGCAGATCGACCCCTTCGGCCACTCTCGGGAACAGGCCTCACTGTTTGCTCAGGTATATCAAAACAGCAGGTTAATAAAAAGCATCGTTCATATTAGGAATCGTTTGCAATAAAGATAATATAACATCATGGTATAAGATTGATATATAATTCAAAACGATCACGTAAAAAAGCAGGTAGATATTTTCAAATTTTAGATCATGGCCCATTCCATCGAAAAATGTATTTAAAAAAAAATTAACAAAAGTATCACTTGAAGTCCAGTGCAATGCCTTGTGCTCAATTAGTGAATACCTTAGGACAATTTGTCGTATGGTCAGTAATGTTTGCTTTCAAAAACAATCGCATCGCAATATATTGATAACGTCTTGCTAGGAGAGGTAGAGGTTGCACCTTAATGCATTGTATAGTTTACCTCTTTAAGTTGCTGCTAAGCAATACCTTCACAACAAGCTACACTGTCGATAATGTGTTAACATGCTTTATGTTTGTCGAGACATGATTTTAAAAAGATTTCTCCATTAATGATATATCGGTTTTCATATTCATAGATGGGTTATGACGGACTATTTATTGGTCGTCTTGACCATGCTGACAAAGATCTCAGATTAAACCAAACGAACATGGAATTTGTATGGCGAGGCAGTCCAAATAATCTAGGTAGGTATACTAGTTACTAGCCTCTTACAAACATTTATGTCAGAATCATGCTCATTTTGCTGATTAATAAGGGAAACGAAACTAGCATTAAATGTGTGTTTCCCTTACACTTACTTTTCATATACATAACACCTATGTGAGAAAAATACATTCTAGGTTACATGTTAGCCTGAAACTTAGATTTATCTGAAAATCATGAAACTTGTTTATTTTCCAGAATCAAATATCAGTTATATGGTCATTCCTGTTTCATTAATCTAAAAAAGTATGATTTGTGACTATGATACGTACAACAAAGTGTGCGGATTAGCGAAGGTGTTTGTTTTTTTCATGTTGATGACGTAACAACCCTAAGATCGTCGTAAGCTGTTTGTGGTTTATTCCCAAGATGACGTCTACATGTCTATTCCGTCTTTACGTATTGCAGAGTTATCTTCTCTTGGGAGCAGGTATTGATTGTTACGTCACTTGATTTTGAGAGTAACGTCAGCATTTTTGAGAAAACGACGTAATTTTCCCGCACAAACCAATGACGTAACAATCAATACCTGCTCCAAAGAGAAGATAACTCTGCAATACGCAAAGACGGAATTATAATAACACGTGGTTTCGCTATAAGTCTATTCTTTTAAAGTAACTATAGTTTGTTCTATAAATGTAGCATAGATATTGAGCTAACAGTACTGTGTTATTGTGTATACGATGACCACCAGGTAAGACGGCCCGGCTGTTTACTGGTGTGCTGTATAACGGTTACGGTCCTCCATCGGGATTCTGCTGGGACATCAGCTGTAAGGATGACCCTATAATGGTACTGCTCCTTTAAAAAGATCTGACAATAAATGTTCATGTATGTTCTAGATATTTTTGGAACAGCCATCATCGTGAGATGTGTAGTCGAATGGTAGAAATATGCATGTGAATTATTCACCGCAATGACAAATAATTTCAAGTAATCACAATTTGTTGTTTGATTAAAATAAGACTTTAAATTCGTTCATTAACTATAATCTAAAATGATAGAAATTTAGAAATCTCTGACATATCAGCGTTTTCTGTTGGAACCCATCAGCTACATATTGCAAAATCAAATGTGAAAAACGTTCCTTTTTCATCTGTGCGTTAATTCTCTAAAGATCCATAAGAACAGTATATAAATGTCATTATTTTATCACAGGACGACGACCGTCTTAATGATAATAACGTGAACAAGAAGGTAGCAGACTTTATCAAGGCGGCTCATGATCAGGTAGATACATAGGTCCAGGGGCTTGATATATATATATAGATATAACAGGTAGGTGTTCAGATTCCTTTGGCTATGAGTTGTAGATTACAAGTTAGAACAGGTATACCAAGCAGTAAATTATGAGACAAGGTATGCTTAAGTTGCAATATCAAACAGTTGCTATCGAAAATAAAGTGAAGTTATGTTTCACTCAATGATATCTTGCTTTAGCTTCATTTCGAGCATGAAGCTAAGACATGGCTTATTAGTCTGTATACGGAAAAAGAATATTGATACTGTTACAAATTAGTATGTGTATTTAACTGCCTACCTAAAATATGGACAGATCGAGTTGTCAATTATATTACAAGATGGATGAAACGCTTGCAAATAAACTGCCTACTTACCCAAACACCCATTTAAATACTGGGTATCCTTTCTACTACTCTTCCAGATGAAGCACTACCACACTAATAGCATAATGATGACCATGGGGTCTGATTTTCAATACCAAAACGCCCATACATGGTTCAAAAATATGGACAAACTTATCAAGTACGTCAATGCACAGGTAAGAATGTTAATCAATGACTTTTATTCAAAGCAATCATTTTCAAATACATAAGATTTGTAATTTTCAAATAAATAAATCATTTCACTTTTTAAATATCAGTTCAAAGAACCATTATGCTTGGACACCTTTAAATTATACACATGTCAATTACAATTTCACGTTCATGTATAGATTATAGAAAAGCTGATAATAATAAGAACGAAATAAATATTCGTTTTGTTGTTAAACTTGTGCTTACAGAAGACTAATAAAAATGACACTAGTCTGACGTGTTTATATCAGAACCAAGAACAAAGCGTTAACATCATTCTTACATATATTACAGCAAAGTAACGGAAGTGACGTGAACGTTTTTTATTCAACGCCGTCGTGTTACCTGGCAGAGCGGAACCAGCTGAACCAGTTATGGAACTCCAAGGCAGACGACTTCTTCCCCTACAGCGACCACGCCCACAGTTACTGGACAGGTTACTTTTCCAGCCGACCAGCTCTCAAGGAAAACGTCAGGCGCACAAACAACTTCTTACAGGTAACTTACAGCAGACGTTGTCCATGTGTTATATTTACCCCCCGTACCACTTACAATTAAATTTGTCCCTGTGTTGTATAAACTTTGATTATCACTCAAACATATTTTGTCCCGTTAGCATATTTACTCTTATCATCACTGACAGCTGTTTTTATCATTGTTTTACAATGCCTATATTACGTACAACATAATATACTATGTTTATTTAACTTCCAATATCAATTACTATATACTTTTTCCTCGGAATGATATATACTTTCAACTTCGATACATCAAATTCTTATCCGTTTTGATCAAATTTCGAGATAAATGCATAATTCGTTAGGCACAATAAACACCTACATCCATTGAACATAAGATAGAGAGTTAAAAGTATATATCGTAATTTAACGAGACTAAACAAATCCTGAACATGCAACTCTGAGAGATACATTGTTACCCTTTCAAACAACGCTTTAAGGAAACAATTATGATTTTAAACGATCCAGTGAATTTGAAATACAACTGAGTCTTAGTTCACAAAAATACTTGCTATGTCCTTAAAAAAGATAACAGGAAACGGCCATTGCACCTTCATGATGTGCCTCACATATACCACATTTGGAACTGTTATAAAGACATTCGTGCTGTATTGCCTGCTGAAGGCTACATTGACATTAAATCTGACATTGTTAGGAGTGGAGTTTACTTGCACTTCACTTAACTTTCGGACGACTTTACTTACAGATGACCTTAATTGCAGGTGACCATAGATTTTAATCCACATCAAAGGAGTGATTTTATCGATATGCATAGAAATATATCTATAAACTGCAACTTCGTTGTATCTTAAAATAATCTTAAGATTTCGTAATCAAAACATCATTTAAAAAACGTGCGAGGTTGTTGCTAGATTTTTGATTTGAAAACATATCCGCCTCCGTAATATTCATTATGATAATTCAAGTACATGTAGCATACCACGATTTTTATTTCCACAATATTACGTTAAATCATGTTTTATTTCTAGTCATATCTCTTTGAATGCGTAGAATATGAGTATATCATTTTTAAATATGATCATTTTTTTAAGTTAAGGATGTTCATATTTCAGTTTAACATCGATCTTATAATGATAACAAATATCACCATTGAATTAAACGCAGCTTTGTAAAACTTTTTCCATTTCATTAACTTTTATTCCGTCTTTATCTAAATGTGGACACGTTTATTATCTAAGTATCGTAAAAGGACTATTTTTATTTTCATACGATCATAAACAGTAATTATAATATTAGGATAAAAATTTAAAATTAATTAAGTCGTATGGTTATTATACAAATCCATAAAAAATTCCGGTTTTATGTTCGCATAGAGGTTTGATAAACTAACGATATTGTTTAAACTGGTATCAAAATATTAAATAACCATGAAATTGGATTTTAGTCAAGCAAATTTACGATCAATAAGAAACATAGCACTTCATCTACTTTGGTTAGTAAAATGATATCTGAGCCTGGTTTATCTTGGACAGCAGCTGTTAAAACCGGGGAGGAGCGTTGGGGTCGGTCTTAACCACGGTCGCGTATACAGGGGGTGCGACTGCCGGTGGATTCACACCTCCTATGTATTGTCCGTCTGGTGTGTAGGCAGGGTTGTAGCCTCCTGGCTGTTGGGAGTACTGAGGGTATGGGGAGTATTGAGCATTCTGCGGGTACGTAGGTTGTGCTGGATAGGAGCCCGGAGGACTGACATTCTCTATAACGAAAAATATGCATTTGTTATATTTTCACCGAATTTAAATGTCATATACCTTATCAATATCGCTTCGATAGTCTTCTGCTTTGGTATGGTGGAAAGAATAATATCACAACTGTGGGTCAATTGAGGAATTGATATATGAGGTAAATATATCTTTCAGTCGGATCTCTATGTAAGCACGATAATCTAGTGATAGGACGCCGGGCTTGTGACCGAAGGGTTGCGGGTTCGAGTCACGGCACGGTACTATGTTGAATCGTTGATCAAATACTTTACTCCGCTTGTTCCAGTCTACTCAGCTGTAAATGAGTGCGTGGATGGGCAGTGCTAGAATTGTTGAATGCTAGCTGTGAGCGCCGAAATGGCTGCACCGGTTGTATCGGCTGGTTGCAAAGGCTCTATAACCATTGATAATAATTTGTGAACAGCTTTGAGACTACCTACACACAAGGTTATGATAAAGCGGTATATAAGAACCTCGAATTATTATTATTAATTATTATTAATTGTAGACTGGCTACCAGCCCCTAAGTTTTTATGAAGAATTTCCCAACTGCATTTTACTACTAGCTTATCTCCTCCTAGTTTAGAACTTAGTCTAGAATCAAACATCAAAGTGATTAACATTATTATATTTAAATTCTTAGTTTTACACATTTGTATTTTCGTAAATTAAAGTTGTGACCTACTTGTTTACCTTAATTGTTGGGGTTTTCCGAAATAAATAATTTGCAACTCAAGAACATGGATACATGTTGCTTGTATGCATATCTTTAATGTGTTATAAAGGTGCAAACGGGTTGTTGTTTTATAAAAAGTCACTTCAGCCTATATGAGAGAGGAGGGGAGTTAAAGCCCTTGAGGTGAAAGTGAAACGATTATAAACGTTGTATATCATGATATATTAAATTGTTCTATATAGCATCAGCCTAATAGCGCTATTAGATACATAACATAATGTTGGTATGTTATAGTTTACGCCACAACTCTTCCTGTTGTTACCTGTCCTTTATTAAAAACTAGTTGCCATGGCTGCTATTCAAGACAAGGCATAAAAATACTATGGTACCCCTGTTGTCGACGAAAAAAGGCCAATTTGATTTGTTATATGCAGTTCCGCCTTTTTCCAAAAAACAACTTCGGTCTACTATTTCGTTATCTAGTTTGTCATTGAATGTCTTCGTTATACATATCCAGAAAATTGCAAGTTATCCAATCATTAAGACTCTTATTTTGCATTTATAGAACATATGTTTCGCCAGATATTAACGCCATATCTCTGTATTGGCCCTAATATAGTGTCGGTCTCATGTAATATTAATGTAGTCTATTACGTACACAATCCAATCTGTAATTGCGACTCGTAGGTTACTTACGGGGAGCGACAGTGAAGGTAGTGGTAGTGTTCACGGGGTTCCTAATAACCCGTCCTGGACGTCGTTTTCTTCTCCAGACGCAACCAATGCAAACAAGACAGGCGATGAGGGCTCCCAGACCAATGAGACCGCCCACGACAGCTCCAGCTATTGTCCCTACCGACCTACATAAAATAATACCGCATTTGCATTTAATTTAGTTAGTGCTGAAAGATGTCCGAGTAAATGTATCCTACATGTAGTTTTAAATTTTAAGAGTAGCATTCCTGTCGTAGGATCCTGATAAGTATTCATGAAATATACAAAAAACGAAACTCATATCTTTACAAGATTTTTGAAATTGTAATTTTTGAAATGATAATGATCGGAATAACTCTATCTTAAAATTCATTACCATTGACACTTTTATGAAACATGAATTCAAACCCTCTTCAGAAAAAAGACATCTTGCAATACATTTAAAGATTGAAATTGTTAAAAGTTGCTTTATTGAATACAAAAACTAAACCAAACGAAAACAGAACTACAGAAATGCTAGGGGATCGGCTTGAATCTCTAATTCTATGTTTAACAAAATTAATGTTGGTATCAGTGAATTGCAACTGCACAAAATGATAGATTAGACCTTTGACATGGAAAGTATCTCTAAACCAGGAAGAAAATGAGTAGCTAATTAATTTCTTTCTTTTTCTGCTGACATTAAAACCTCATCATATTGCAACAATTTTTTCAGAAAAAAGTTTGATGTTATAGAGGGATTTGCCCTTAAAATGAAATATATAAAAGGAATTCTTAAGAGAAAGCAAAAAATGGACCGGGAACTTTATTGGCGGTAACTGCGTACTATCTTCAAATAACTCAGAGTGACGTCAAAATGGAGGCTATATAGGGGACGTCGTATATGACGAACACGTTTGATTTATCGAAACAAGACGTTTGTTATGACGAGAATATGTGATTTCTAAACATATGATGTTAAATGTGACGATAGTATGTGATTTATTGACACAGGACCCAATAAATGACAAAAATATGTGGTTGATCGACAAAAGACGTCATATATGACATAAATATGTGATTTATTGACAAAGCACCTCATATATGACGAATTTATATGATTTATCGTTACAGCACCTCATATATGACGAACGTATGTGCTTTATCTCCAAAAAAATGTAAAATATGTTGTTTTTATGATGAACATGATCTTGAAATCGGTTTCATGCATGCATTTCCGTTTAGGAAAATGTATGTCTTTTCTCTAGCTCAAATGAGACTCGTTTCATTAATCTCATTTTAAAAGAAAACCCATTTGACATTGTATCTGTACACATATGTTCTAGATAAACAAATACGAAGTGAAGGAAGAAAATGACATTTTGGTACATACATGTGACAGTCTAAACAGTTACTGTAGCAATAAGACATATAGCAACAGCAACACTAGAGAAGTAAATTAGGATTTCAACGTTTCACTAACTGAATATACAAGCCGTAAGATGTGATGTTGCTGTTGTCATAGACGTTACTACAACATCTGACATAGTATATCCCGCTACAACAGTACTGGTCGTAATAGCAGTAGGTAGATGACGTTCGGTATTTATAAATCCCGTCAAAGACATCAGTGTAGCCTTCCTGTGCATAACAGTACTCGGCGCTGACAACGGATAAACCTGCAAGACCGATTGTTATATCAAGCAAAAATTGAAATAGAAATATATTTATTGTCTTGAATTGTTGTGTACTATGATCAGTTAGAGTTTTAATTTTGATAAACAGCAAATTGTTTCGAAACTTCGACAATATTTATCGTTCGTATATCGTTGCTGTTATATATGTGTCAAGTGCCTCCATTGCATTATACTTCAGTTATTACCCGTAAGGAATATTATGTACATATATCATTGCCCATAAGCTATCAATATAATAACATATACGACATTTATATATATACTTTTTTTTAATATATATTTTTACATTTTACATTTAATTTGAATGTATCGAATACTCACAAGAACAGAAAATTGCAGCGAATACGTCAATTTTAGGTGCCGACATTATTCCACAAATAAAACTGTTTCGTTTAGATATGTACTTAACATGTAAATTCAGACATGCCTACGATGAATTTACGGTGACGATCAGGAAATCTGTACCAGTCATCATATCCGCTGTAGTATGACATGCTACGTACAGCAGTTTATAATGTGCACAAGTCATTTCTTACTTCACTCGGCTAACCAAGTTATGCCAATCAAACTCAGAGTAATTCATTTCACAATAGAGTTGTGCTTAATACTCCAAAACAGCTAGATGGGGAGAAGGGGTACAACTATAAAAAGAAAACTCCTTAATAGCGGTGAAAGGAATAATAAGATAAGCTGGCTTGGATCTTTCCGCACTGAAAAAGATTTGGTATTGCATAAATTATAAGTGTGGGATTTTCATGATTACAGACATAACACGACCATTTAGTCGAATGTAAAAACTTTGGGCTTCTTTCAGGGTCACTGCAGTTAAATGTGTTAAAATCTTCAAATGGGTACTAATCATGCATAGTGTAATGAAATTGAGACTGTAGTATTAGCAGTCTCCATATTCAGTACGTTTTAATAATGTTTACCTTGGCTCTCTCTTTAAATACAATTTGATCAATACAGTAACAAGGGGCCTCTTGTTATGAATGGTATCGAGATACAGTTTAATAACGTTCACGTTTGTGCACTTGAAGCTTAAGAACTGGTATTACCGCAGTAAGCCTTATCTCTGTTATTGTGCCAAGAAAGCTGTCTGGTTGATCTTCCTATGGCCCTAACGTAGTTCATAGAGTACACGTTAACCCAAAATATAACTAAATTGTTTATAAAAAAAAACATATCTATGGGGCAAAGAAGTAATTCCAACAGTGTGGACAAGTTTAGGTTGTCAAATTTTCGGAGCGATCCGCTCCTTTATCAATAAAAACATATATATATATATACAGCAAGCTGGCAGAGTAAAAATACGGCGTTTCGTGACTTCCTGTTTACCAGGAAGTGCAGGAAATAATGCCTGTGTATAAGCAATGTAAGCCTGAAATGAAAAGAAGGCGCAATATCGATGAGCGATTTTATGTTACACAACAGAAAATAGTTCTGACTTCAAAGTTTATAATCTTTTGTCTGACTGACGAGTAATGTCCATCATATACCAAGCTTGAGAACTATATATGTTTATATTTGGATGTATCGTAATTAAAGCGCAGGCAGATGATTTCTAATTTATAAATGTATTTTATATTGGTGTTAGACAAATGATTTCTAAATTCGAGTAAAATAGTATTTAAAAAGCTTTTCTATGATAGTGTGAGCCTTCGTTGTGTAAGAAGCGTTATAAGTTTCATATCGCTTATATCTTCAGCAAATTATCATTTATTAATTAATATATAAACTAACTCGATCTAGGATTCCAACGCTGTCAATCAGGTAGAGAAAATAATTAAAATTACTACGTAGTTTTGGAATGGGAACATTTATTTATGCACAGATACAACCTTGACCTTGTTTTAAGATTCAATGATTTTAAAACATCTGATATTTAGGTATATTATCAAATATGGCAAAAATATATATATTCTTTTTAAATTGATACAAGCACAGCATTTATATTAGACAATTGAATCCGGATGTATTATTAAGCGTGTGTTTATAAAATATGTTGATAAGATGATGTTTATGAACGATTAATCACTGTTACATTGATAGTTAATTTCTAAGAATAAACTTTACTGCCTCTTATATTCTGTCCAAACTGCTTTTTTTCTCAATGTATCATGTCTATATGTTGTGTTCTTCAGGTTTGCAAGCAGGTAGCAGCTTTCAATGGCCAAGAAGTAAATAAATTAAGTATGTACTCACTTTTATGTGTAGAGTAATATCAATGATACCATATTACATAACCATGTTTATAGTTAAATGGGGTTAATTGACAAAGGCACAGAAAACGGCTGAATAATGATAATAAAAAAACCTGAATTTGACACAATCATAACTATAGTCTTGCTGGTTAACACTTTTAGTAAAAAAGTCAATGATATATTCCAGAGGAGGCGATGGCTGTCGTTCAACATCATGATGCCATTTCGTAAGTAGCAATACTAAATTAATCTGTAAAATGTTATTTATGAGCGATAGGTGTTTCCAGATAATCAAATTGATGACATCATTGCATTTTAAAGATGACTGATGAAGCATATATAACATTCAACCGCAGGAACATAAAACCTTATATTAGATATTAAAGAAATAGTCATATATCATATGTTGAGTACCTTGATTTCATATGTATTTCATCTACTTGTTACCTTTATTTGATCACAAACGATTTCTGGAGTTGCCAGATCACTAGTAACCGAATTGTCAATGCAAGTTACAAATACCAAACTGAACTCCTGCCACGATGCTTCGCTGTGCAAATAGATATGTGGCGTATGGAAAGTTAATCATTTCTGTAACTTTGATAAAAAGGTTATCGATAGAATTTTTTATATATAATTAAGTCGTACTTTGTTCAATGTGTGATATATTTCTAATATTGTCATTAAAGTGGTACAGAAAAACAGCATGTAGCAGACGACTACGCACAGAGACTGGCAGTGGGAGTCAAAGACTGTCAGGTAGGTTCACTGAGATACATAGCAATGATCCATTGGTGAAGTTAATATGTAATAATATGATTGTATAAAACAGTATACGTGTGTACTTGTTACGAAAATCTCACCGGAAAATCTAATATATGAGATATGATACGAAGATCAAATGGTATCTAGAACATGTAATTATACTGCTCTACAGAATGTTAAACAGACATGCTAGCTGTTTCCTATGGTGGCAGAAGAGGTTATTGTTAATTCGTTATACACACTGCATTCTGTTATTAGACGTAGTTCATGAATCTGTGTATGTCATATTGTACATTATATAAAGTTATTCGTTACAGATGATGTTGAACGCTGAGTTCAGTGATATGCTGACTGTTGGTTCATCCATCGGGCCTCCAGAACAAAACTTCTGTCCCCTCCTCAACATCAGCAAGTGTTCGCTGACAGAGAACTATAACTCGGTATATAGTGACAATATCGTATATCTGGGATCTCAGACTGACTATTGTGGTCATTATCACTCTCTTAGAAACAAAACACATACAACAAACAATCAACATACATACATCCATACATACATGAATATAAGTAAGGCACTCTATAAAAACTACAATTAGTATTCAATGCACATAGCTATGTCTAAGAAGGGGGATGTAATTGGTGTTGACAATGTCATCAATGAAAGTTCATAATTTATTGCACTATCTGATAAAAATATTAGTTAATTGACAGTCACAAATTTACGAAAAATGTATGATATGAATTGTGTATCTATCAAGCTTATTAAATAATACTTTTCTTGTTTCTTTTTTGTTGCATAGTAAAATAATGGGTTTCCGTACAATTGCATAATTAAACACAATATTGTTTTTGTTTTTGTTTTTAATGTAGTTCTAACAGTCCAACATACCAATTTGTCTGAAATAGGAAAAGTGGTGTTACTCAAAGCACGATATATTTGTTTCGTTTGTTATGCTTAATTACAATGTTGTACGTGTTATATCCGTGTATTTGCCAGTTTGTGGTACTAGCCTACAACCCACTAGGCCGGGAAGTTCTAAATTACTTCAGGATCCCTGTTCTGGGCACAAACTACCAAGTAACAGACAAAGACGGGACACGCATACCTGCACAGGTAGGAGATTATGTGGCAGCATGGAAAATGTCATCATGTAGGAGTTTCCCCTACGGTATTGTATTTCGTGATATAATTTGCTATTTGTTGCTTTCTACCTCGAGTTATCCCGCTTGTACTTGTAAGTGACGATTTCAAGTTGGGAAATCAGGACAGCATTGTTTTCCCCCTAGACTATCCTGTAAATGATAATCCATCAGACTGCTGGTGTTCTCTTTTAATAGACTGCCTACCAGATTTTAAGATTTGTAGAATAGTGTTCAGCTACAATCTTCTTCTAGCTTTTCTCTTTCAAGTTTGAAATTGGACATCCAAGACATCAAAATGATAAAAGTCTCATTTTTCTTTATAAAGTAATATTCTAGGTACAGTGGCCGGTTTATTCCCTTGAGAGACCGTTATGGTCTCAAAAGTTTGACAGATTTACATCGCCCATGCAAACACGTGCAATGAATAACCAATTAATATTCTATTACAGAGCTTTACAAACATTGGATATGGAGACTAAAAAGTTCTGTTTAAATATCCATTACATTAATTGTTGAACTGTTCTATAACTACAAAAGGTTAATTGACAGATTGTGGACAATGAATCTATGTCATCTTTTACAGCTCATCCCTGTGTCCAATGCTACACGAGACATTCCAGAGCGGAAAGGAACCAGGACCGATCATGATTTGGTGTTTCGTGGAACTCTTCCGGCCCTAGGCTTCTACTTGTTCTTCGTTCAATATAAAGGTTTTAAGTTAAAAATTGCAATCAAAATATATTTTATAACAATATTTGTTCGTTTGCTTTGTATGAATTTCACTTCAAAGCACATACAGGCATATGAATCATATTTAATGAAGCAAAAATGACTAGCGTAACTGTGAGCGAGCTCACAAAACAAATTACCCCCACTTGCGCTTCCACTAGTTTCTGGAGCAGCAATTTAAAGTGTCATTGGCCATAACTCCCGTAAAAGATGGTTGAATGGCAAATTCGTTCTTCGTGTACATTTATATATGATATTATTTGCGCTTTCAAGGTTTCTGGAGCAGAAATGTATAGTTTCAAGGGTCATAACTCCCACAGGTAAAGTTGAATCACAAATCCCCTTCTTCATACACATCTTCATATGTTGTATTTCCACTTTGTCAAGTTACGCATCCATTGGTTTCGGAGGAGTTACATTTACAAGGATCATGGCGACACGGAGAGACGGAAGAACAGTGTGATTCCTATATTCCCGCCCCTCACCAACCCTAAACTTCGTTTGCGGGGGATAAATACTACTTCCCTGAACTTGTTTCCTACTTAAAACACACACACTATAAAGGTTTATACGGCATGTTATCAAAATACTTTTTTATTCGATGTTCAAATCAAATTGATTACAATTGTATAACATTTCTGAACACTCTTTTCGTTGCAACTCAACAGAAGAAAACGTTCCTGTTAAAGAGAACGTTCCTCACGAAGTAGAACCTAAGGCTGACATAATATTGAAAAACAAGGTAACCCGTCTTTGTTTATAGAAGGTATTTCTTTGATTTTCGACAATGATTTACTATATAAAACAAATACTATTGTCAGATTGATTGTCAAAGTATCAAAGAAATTACAAACTTTCTGCAAATAATATTAGAGAAAAACCCAAACGTTGCAAAAGTGCCAAATTAAGAGAGAGAGAAAAACAATTTTACTAAGCTTGAGCCCGTAGCTGTCGTTAATCGTTCAAATTGATTATTGTTTTCTGTGAATGTCGAGACAAAGGTAAAACCCATATCACCCAAATATTGATATATCCCTGTTCCCGCTTGCAGAAGTATGAATTGCCCACACTAGATAGTCTCATCTATTGTTTTATTGGACATTTTTATCTATAACAACAGAAAAAGCTTGATGATATATGAAAAAATACTGCAAATCTGTTGGAATAAATCTTTATCATTTGATGTGCAAGCTTGTGAAATACAGTTCTAATATTCTTATAATTCAGCTGGCATACCAACGTGTTGCTTGTATGAATTCCTGACAATGAATTCAAATGTCTTTAAGTCTTGTTCAGTTTCATGATTATCTTTCTTGAATGAATCATTCAGTACGTTGAAATTTTACAGTAAATACAAAATATCCGCTGTCTAAAGAAATAGTACTGTAATGTATTACCACCCCTGTAATATCCTATAATTAGATCGTGATTTTGTTTCTATATCTTAAACTTAACATTACATCGTCAATTAGCTGAGTCAGTTATATTCTTAAACATACATTTTATTGAATTTTCTGTTGTTATTAGAAGAAAAAAGGTTTAGGTAACATAATTATTTTTAAACCTACCTTCCAGCATTTAAGTCTGACCTTTGATGGTACGACGGGCAAAATCAGGCAGATGCAGCAGCTGGAAGACTCGATATCAATAGGAATTAGTCAGGACTACATGTACTACCTGGGTTACCATGGTAACAACAGTAAAGACGACTACCAGAACTCGGGGGCCTACATCTTTCGCCCCAACGGGTCACTGGCCACCAACTTTTCCCAGACCAGCCTTAAGACCAAAGAGTACATAACGTTTGTAAGTTGTTGAAAATTACGATTCAAATTCGATTCTTAACGAAACAATTCAAAGACGAGGGTTCTAACTTTTGTTCACTTGCAGAACATGTTAAATCATAATATGTTTATAATGTTACATAATATTGCAAAAAGTTAAATGGATCTTATAATGAATAGCCCGTAAATAAACTATTAACATGGGATTGAACTTTCATTAAATGTAATTTTTTTTAGGAAATCCATACAACATCACCTTTTCATTTAAATAAGTGTCGCATATGCAGTTCATTCAACTTTATTCTTTTTACTTACACATAAATTCACAACTTTCAATTTAGCATATTCGTTATTTGTTGGGACATCAGTATTTTGAATTTCTTTGTCATAAATAAAATAACAATGAGTAATATCTATGATTATTTATGATATGGTTCCTCTAATCATCGGAAACGTCAATGATACCCATGCCCATGTACACATATGTATATCACCCTACCTCTATACCTTCCCACCACATGCCTCAGGGAGACGCCCTGGTAAGGGAGGTCCACCAGCAGTTCAGCCCCTGGGTGTCTCAGGTGGTGAGACTGTATGAAGAGGAGAAGTACGCCGAATTCGAGTGGACCATTGGCCCTATTCCGATAGAGTAAGTTCAAAACCCGCCTCACTGGTCATCATATTCTGCAGTATTAAAAGAAAAAGAAAAAGAAAAAGAAATCATGTAGATATACCAACCTAAATATTAAAAAGAATAAACAAAATGATCCTAAACGAATTTATAATCATGTCATGAAACCATCTTTCAAATCGTAGTTTTGAATTTGCATAAACGACCATAACGATTCTATATGTAGTTATCACAATCATTGTTATACAATAACCTCCCCTGTTCACTGTTTACATATATTTCTGGAATCCATGATTATTTTAGGGCTATTTAGATTCATGCTTCGCAAAATTACCAAAATGCAAACAGTTTTTTTTCGGTACACACCGTTTAACCACAAAGATAACTATGGTTAAATATTCCTTATAATTCAATTTGAAGGGAGGAAAACCAGAAACACTTTTTAGTTTAAAGTTAATGAGTATTTAACCATTTCTGCTACAAATGAAATACTTTTGTTGAAAACACAGCAGTGCGCTAAAGTGTCATCGCCGAGCCACTTTAAACAATCAGTAGCTAGAATTTCAAATACCGCGCCGAACATTTCAGTGTACACGTCATCACTTTTTGTCTTGTTTTCTGGTAATACGATATAACATGAAGACGTCTGTCATTGAGGGAATAACCGAAATTATACTATTTATATGTTTGATATTCTTGATATTTCAATTACAGGGACGGTTACGGTAAGGAGGTGATATCCAGATTCTCCACCAACCTCAATTCTTTCGATACATTCTATACGGACGCTAACGGCAGGGAAATACTACAGAGACGGTTTGTAGCTCAATTTAATACGATACTTTAAAGTTTCAATTGATTGTTAGATTAGTAAATCAAATGTTTCTTACCAAATAAGTTCTTCAGTTCCCAGCCAGATGATGCTCGTGTAGATTCCTTATTCTTCCGCTTTGCCGACAGAATAATTAATTAAATATTTGAATATACACCAGATGCAAAACGCACGGCATATAACCTAACAAGTACATGCTTGAAAACGTTCAAAGTGAAATGTTTTCGACCATGTTTGATTTTTTTTTGAAGGCTTATTTTGACTCGTTAGCGATGATGCGGGTTAAGTTATTACCCTTAGTACCTACCATGAAGAAATTATCATAATTGCAAAGATCACTTTATACATATTGATCTAAAGCAACAAGCATATGCTGGACCTCAATCTGCCTACGCAATGGATACTATGGTAATATGCAATCAACTGTGAAAATCGTTTTCATTAAACTATGCACTATGCAGGTGGTTTTTTTTTTCAATTTAACACTTAGTGCAACTTTCGCTATTCGATCTAGTTACAATCATCGTGACACATGGGTTTTGAACCAGACAGAAGATGTGGCTGGAAATTACTACCCAGTAAACAGTAGAATCTTCATACGGGTGAGTTACATTTACCAACAATAGGGAATAATTTTATTGTTCATCAGCAAGTTTCATATAATCAAATAAAAACGTTCAAAAGAATCACAATAGAAAGCAAATGCAACATAGTGTCAACTCAAAAAAGACAAAAATATACCGCAATGTCAACATAGTGTCAACGCAAAAACGACAAAATAAACCGCAATGTCAACATAGTGTCAACGCAAAAACGACAAAATATACCGCAACGTCAACATAGTGTCAACGCAAAAACGACAAAATATACCGCAATGTCAACATAGTGTCGACACGCAAAAACGACAAAATATACCGCAATGTCAACATAAAAGGGGGAAATACACCATTGTGTCAAAATTAAAGGGTAAAGTAAACCACCGTGTCAACATAAAATGGTAAAATATACGGCAGTAACACATTTGGACCACAAAAGGTATAAAAATGCAGAATGGAAGAGACATCATAATAAAAAGAAATAATCAACTTCAAAATAAATCCAACGCTCCCTTTGCCATTCATGGCACAAGGTTGTCGGATACCGAATCGAAGCGGTTGAGCAAAATACTTCTTTATTTATCATTCTTTGTTGACACTTTCATGGTTTGTTCGTTTTGATAAACAACAATGGTGTACTGTTATAGAACTTTCCGTTTCAAAGGTTCTTTGTGAAATACCAGTAAAAGGAGTATTACAATTATATGAAGGTGTCATACATATATCACGTTATTCAGGACGAAGCCAAAAATGTACAGTTCACCGTCCTTACTGATCGCTCACAAGGTGGCGCTAGTCTCCGAGCAGGTAGTCTCGAACTGATGGTACGTATCCCTAATTTTCTAGCACAGTGAACGTATTAATGTAAAATCATAAATGCAAATGCTTCGTGCTACATTCTCAGTTTCAGACACTATATTTCATAAACAATTATTCATATTAATAAGAAATCATTATTACCAGTGATTATTCGAATCTCAAGTCGCCTTCAGATTTTGTTTTTGGTTCTTTGAATTTTAATTGGCCATATTTTTGATGCAACAGAATTCTTTGATTTGGATGTCATACAAATAGTGTTTTAGTTTGTTCATGTGTCCAAAATAAATTGTATGGTAATAAATTGAAGAAAATAAAATGGTAACTTTGTTGTTTGTGTGAATAGGAGGATTAAGAAAGAAATTTGAATTAGTAAATATCCCCTAAAACCATGCTATAGGTACACCGTCGACTCCTGGCTGACGATCATAGAGGTGTAGGCGAACCACTCAACGAGACTGGTTCAGACGGTCGGGGACTGATCATACGAGGTTAACTTAAGATATTTTTTATCATAACGATAATGCTATTTATGTATGCTTCATGATCTATCTTCGTCAGCTCCCAAAGAAATTCGGTCGCAAAGTAAATAATATCATCGACATTTAGTGGGCACATATTTTGAAACAATTGGTGTTTATTTTTCATCATTTATTTGTGAGTTCAAAATCCTCACGAGAATATAACGTTTGTAACACGAACATCCGTGAAAGTGATGAAATTTACAGTATCTGAACATATTCAAGTCATCATATCCTATTGCTAAACATTAAATATTTTACAAACCATTGTGTTGTCGTCAATGATTTCAGGTAAACATTACGTATTCCTTGAAACAATTGCCAAGTCTGCCCGGTGTCACAGAGATCTGGCTTTAAAGTTGTACATGGCGCCTTCACTCTCGTTTATGATTGGACAGGGGGGACAACAGGTGTGGATACAGAACTGGGGTGTCCATGTGAGTATTTGCTTCACGTTTGTCCTGTTACTGAGAAATTTTCTGGAGATAGTGTCCGTGTGTGTCTATGACCAAAGATCCTTTGCCTATTAACTTAAATACCGATATACAAAGATGTAGCAGTAAAATAAAAGTAAGGCTAGGGAGGCCTGACATCCATACAGTTGGCGCCATGTACTCTCATTTGTTTGACGTCATAAAACAGGAATATTATTCAGTTTTATGCGGATTAGGCTCTGAAAGTATTTCGCTCTTCACAAAAACCGGGAAAATTTCAGCTTTGCGAGACTCTTGGCATGGTACCAAATCGTCTGTTCGAGAAAACTGCGAATCATCGTTGCGTTAAGCTCTTGACACGGATTTTTTTCTGCTCTTAACAGAAAGCAGAAAAGAATCGGCTGTGTAGGGCTCGAAAGCTTGGAATCAATATCGATGACGTGTTAGTTATAGTTGATGTCACTTCTATGTACAAAGATTGGAACTGATTTGTACTACATAGAACAAAATGTTGTCATACGTTAGGTATCACAGTATCATGTTAGAAATATCAACCATCAGGTTCGGTTTGATATTCTTTATTCATAACATTAGGCCCTCTATGATCTCACAAAATGACCTAATGAATATGGCCACAATACATTTCTTACGAATCTTCGTGCTTTTTTAATTCCTACAATATTACACTTCTTATAAAATTCCAGTGGACAGCCATGAAAACTCCACTGCCAGCCAATGTGCACCTACTAACCCTGGAAAAGTGGCCGACCCCGGGGGTGGATCCATTAGATGACAGGGGATACCTTTTGAGGCTGGAACACATTTACGAGGTGGATGAGGATCCGGCACTCTCCCAGCCTGTCACCCTTGACCTGGTATTATATCACTGGTCACATGTTAAGACTCGATTTGTCTGAGTGATAATTACGGGTATACGAGTCATAAGTACCACCGCTAGGTTTTTTCGATGTGTGCTGAGATTTCTGTTTCCTTAGTTTTAATATTTTCCCGTATATTTTCTGTTTGAAAACTTCACCAATAATCAATGTAAAGAGTTAACGTTCCATTAAGGTGTCCCCATACCTTGTGTATTATCTCTATGAAATAAATATAAGTATGTTAAATAGTGATCGAGGAATTATGATACTGTAGAAGCCTGTTGAAACATTAACAAAAGTAAAAAATGTTGTGGAATTACGATTCTACATGTCTTCTTGTAAAGCGGTATAAATTTCGTGATGTTTATACATAAAAGCAATCAAAGTCTTACTAGTATTTAAAGGGGGTTCTTTCCTGTATATCAGTATTTAGAGAGGTAAATTTCGGTATTATAGATGTTTACATGGAGAAGATCAAACAAAATTTCCTATTTCCTTAAACTTATTGAAATGTTCGAACAATAAACCATTCGTACATAGCATAACTTGACGAATATTTATTTCAATAACGTTGATATCTTCATTTTTGTCTCACTGATGAAGAAAAGATGTATGTGTATAATACTCAGACGTGTTTTGAAATAAATATGATAGATAATCTACATAAAAACATTTAACTTCGATGCATGTCAAAATATCAGGTGTTACTATGCTGATTCCAGAATCAGATATTTAAGTTTGGCCTCCAAATCGTGAACGAGGTGACGTTAGGAGCGAACATGCCATTGTCACAGTTACGAAGGATGGAATGGACCGTCATCGTCGACAAGGAAGTATCAAGTACGTATTGGGCTTTGGTAATTCACACTGAAATACTAACAAGGTAACTATTAATACATCCATAGGTTTATCTGATTACCCAGGTCTTGTAATTGTGAAAAAAGGTACCCAACCTATCTTCAATAAAATTCATCAGTTCGGAAATGTATAATATCAAAGTTTTACTTTCTACACATACAATAGCTTGACAAAGGGACCAATCGGTCTTGAAACGTTGCGACACGTTTAATAGTAGTGTACTTTGTTTGTGTAGAAAGTAAAACTTTGATATGGTACCCAACCTGTTTTCACATAACTAATAATTTTACTCAGCTTGTCAAATCGGATCAGGAAAACATATTCAACTCTTCTAAAATCGCATTTGTGCGCTTTCCCTCCTTACGACTATAAAATATGAGGGTCGTCTACAATTGATAAAGGAATCGTTCCAAACTCGGTTAAAAACAAATTTATATAAGTTTTCCGATGACGACTTGATTAATAAAGTTTTTTAATGAGATAAACAGTACAAAAACGTAATTCATATACTCATCAAAACAATGAAAGTTTGGACTGAAGGATTGACCTTATACTTCGCAAATGGTCTTAAATAATCACTAGAAGTATGAGGTAGGGAAACATCTATTTATACATTTTAGGACGTCGACTCAGAAAGCCAAACCAAATGACTATTTAATGTTCCATTTGGCAATAATGTCCATTTTTTACTTATGAGTCGTAGAATTTAGGACTCATCAGTGGAATAAAAGGTAAAACTGATGAAAATCCATCTCCAATGTGCTTCGAAACCATTATTCGCCAAATGAAATTGCGCCATGTGTTTTTCTTCTTTTTTTTCCTCATTTTAACGACATCATATGCTTTGGCCTGTGGAATTTTACAGGAAATAGTATTATGGTGATTGTGAACTCTATGTTTAGATACTGTGGAATCGGTGGACACTACGCTACGAGTAGACAACACCACCATTACTTTGAACCCCATGCAGATACGGACATTCATTGTCAATCGTCTGGAAGGTTGAGCGTATGGTCAACTTCCAAAACTTAAACTTCTGTATTGTGCCAGTGCAATTATTATTATTTCTAAATAAAGAATTGTTCCTTTTTCTTGATGTCAGGGATGGCGCGTTTGTTTTTTTCTTTTTCGTATTGTTTGTAAGATTTTTTCTTTCTTTTTTTCTTTCTCTTTATGTCTGTGAATGACGACAGGTGTCAGGAAAAACGTGATTCATTTGGAAGACAAAAATAAGTCGTTTTGGACACGGATTCGGAAAAATATGTTTATAATCTTGTGCGACATGAAAAATATACAACAAAAAGGGAGATAACTCGACATCCCTTCAATGCCATATAGAAAAATGTACACGTTTTGCCCAGAAAAAAAAGCAAAACATCCGCAATTCACTAGGAAAAGTTGAAGGAATATCTTAAGTAATTGGAAAAAAGCTATTTCTTATTTCAGTAGACCAGTACGCCCTGAATGATTCAAACACACCTGACCTACAACAGAAGACATCGGAACGTTAGAGAGTGAATCATCCCATCAACCGATACCGGCGTCACGACGAACAGGAACACAGAAGCTCTCAAATAAAAACGTAATAAATTACCGAAACTGACGTGCGAAAAATGGGAATTTTATTACGCGAGTTGGGAATTTAGGTTTCCACCTATTAGTATTAACAACTCACGATACTTTATTTTAACTTTATCTTCTCGTGTCACCGTTCTTACGACACTTGCCCAACAGGTGGCCTGTATTGAGTGGACGACGGTCTCTGTCGATCAATTTGTTATGGTTGATAGATGTATAAAGAGTCAACTAGGGCAAACGATTATTCTTTATATATGTGTTTTCTATGCTACGGTACATGTTTCCTTGGTGACCCGAGGAAGTCAATAAAATGGGTCGGCTCGCCCTTACCGAAACGTGCTAATATAATATTGGCCATTTACAACGAAATTGAAAACGTGATATTTTATTTTTATTTTTCGCGACAAATGTAGAAGGGGCTTTGTGGTCCTGGGAGTTGTGTACAAGTAGACGTTTTCTACATTTAAACAGCCCACGTTTTATTACAGTGAACCTTTCATTCATTCTACCTGTCTTGATAAGTGAAACGCAAAAATAGAGATATCCGTGTGACTTTAAAATTAAACTGATGACAATGTTTGGTATGAACCATGTGCTGTACGTATGGCATTAAGGAGGCAAGCTTCCTTACTTATGCATGCAAGTCCTTTCAAAACGTGCTGATCCATATCAGAGAGAAAATAATGAAGTCACCCGTTTCTTCTTTTTTTTCTTCTTTTTCTTTCGTCGTAAAAGTTTCCGACCCATTTCTCGAAAACGGTTTCAAAGAAATTAATGAAACATTACACAAGTGTTCGTCATGGTTAGGGTGCGTGCAAATGACCTTTTATTTTCCGATCGGTCAACCAAGATGGCCGCCACGGCCTCTGATTCGTCGAAATTAAATATTGCTCGATTGTGCTCAAATTGGGTATGTAGGTGTATTTTTGCATCTTTGAGACAATGTAGCAGTTTGGGGGACTTTTGTAATGGTCCCCTATTACAATTAATACTTGCAAAATATATTTGAGTTGTAATTTGCATTTTTCTTTATTATTTGTATTTTAGAGGTTCATTAGAAATACAAAATAAGGAAATCTCTATTTTAAAAAATTAAGAAACTCGACACCTAAGGCCAACAAAGGAACTCTGTGTACTGCACCATAAATCCATTTCGTATATTAAGGATGGATGCAGTAGTGATATGTAAGATAAAAAGAATGGGAATCCGTGTCGAAAATATTCAAAGGCATGTGCAGAAATACAGCAGAAGGGAAAATGGTGCTTATAATATCCTTTATAACGCTACATTGTTGCAAACATGAGGCTACAACGGAAGATATGTTATTAAGCTAGTTGTATATAAACCGAGCCAAAATAAATTCTAGCAACAAGGTTGCGGCTAACATTAGGGGACTGATAATCCACCAATAGAGTTAACCAACTGTTGTTAAGTAAGGAGGCGCTTTTTAAAAAGATATCGAGGTACGCAAGCGTATGTTACACAATACAATTTCATCTTATGTGAGATAACTCTAGCAGCAGTTACAGGTGTAGCATTTTATCTTTACACGATTTTAAGACATTTTTCTTCATGTTCACGTTTCATTAAGTCAAAAGCAAAAATACATGGTACCATAATAAATGACGGTTGCCACTTGGTGAAGACGATACAGGAAGTAAATGATACATCCGGTGTACCACGTATTACATGTAGGAATTTACAGGAAACGTTGCTTTAAATTTATCTGTTTCGTCAGGTATTTCTGTCTGTTAATATTTGCTATTATAGCTCCTTTAAATCATCATCAAATTCAAAATTCCGAAAAATGAATCGAGAAGAATATTTTCATAATAATTTGCATTTGTTTTAAATCACATCTTAACGAAAGCAACTCTCAGTCAGTAGTATATCGATATTAAGAAGAAATAGCTACCTACTGTTAACGAACTCTTAAGTCACTCTTTTCCAAGCTTTAGGGCTTATCCCTAACGAACTTTTAAGTCAATCTTTTCCAAGCTTAAGGGCTTATCCCTAACGAACTTTTCAGTCACTCTTTTCCAAGCTTTATGGCTTATCCCTAACGAACTCTTAAGTCACTCTTTTCCAAGCTTAAGGGCTTATCCCTAACGAACTTTTAAGTCACTCTTTTCCAAGCTTCTGTTATATATCTTACTTGCATTGCATCACCAGTATATAATATATTTCTACAACTATGTGATTAAATGTATCCGTATCGCTTTCAGTATCCGCCAAAGGAATTCGAATTTCTATCAATGTTGACGAGATTGGAACCACTGAAAAAGAAAGTATACTGAATCAGCGAAGTGTAGAATAATCACTTAACATCGAAAGAAGCATGCTATTTATTTTAAAGTATCGAATGAATAAAATGATGCAGAAAGCAAAACAATTAAACATTAACTACGCACAAACGTCAATGCAGAAACTAAGTCAATCAGTGCAAACACGTATAGCACAAATAAATGAATGCAGAAATCCAATCAAAGTAAAACATTTACCGTGCAACATATGGCCATCTCGTCCATTTAGAGTTCGTTAGGGATGCTCATGGTTCTAAAAGAGTAAAACTCCACGTCTATTCCGAAACACGTGAAGAGATAAAGCAAAAGGGGACCGATGTCTATAAAATCATTTATATCATCACATTACAACTTTTGCATAAAACATATCATTTAGTTTTTAACTTCATGAAAACTTAACAAAAAATGAATTCCAGCTGAACGGTTTTGGTAAACCTCGGGTCTGATTGTCAATCATCAGAGTCAACCACCTTGTGGTGTAAAATAACAACTAGGTTTACGAAATGTCACATAGTCAATATGAAATATATGTATTTCGTGACATAAAACCTGGGTTCACGGTAGGTGATATTAAGAACATCATGTCAGTACTTGGGAAGGGATATCATCACAAGAATACAATTTCAGTTCTACTGATTGGGCTGGGGACCACCTTCATCACCTTTCATTAATGACGGAAGAAGAGAATGTTGGGACCTAAAACATTACCTGAAATTAGATCACCTCCTAACAGAGGATTATTGGCCGACCTGACAATCACTTCCAATTAAAATTTAGTTAATCGATGAAGGAAGCCAAACAACGCAATCCTTTACTGCACCATTCGGTCATTTCCTCTGTTTAGACTCGTCAGTGGCCTGTACTAAAGGTCAACATTTAAAATCCACGTCTAAGGTGTCCAGAACAGAAATAGAAATACAGCAAAAGAGGACAGGTGTTCATAAACCCGTCTATAAGTTACGAATTTACAACTTTGGCTAGAGCAGTATAATTCATTTCTAAATTAGTATTTCATGTAAACCTTGCCAAATGAATTCCTGTTAAAAGGTTTTAGTTTTTGGACCGGGTTGTGCAACGACCGAGATGATGCAACGTAGTTTTGTTGATATCCACTGGTTTAACTTGATCTAATCATGATGATCTCAGAATATAGCTGGCTAATTTTAGACAAGCCGTTGACACAGTTCCAATGAAATCATGACTAAGTTTTTGTAATCCTCCTTAGCACAGGCAGTTGTGAACTAGAAAACTGAATTAATTTTCTTCCAGAATTTTGTATCAATTTCAGGTTTTAACATGAAAAGAAAAGGCAAAAATATTTGTTATTAGAAGTGTAAGATAACTAATTCTTTTAAATGACAAAAACTGCTATAAATAATTATTTAATATGCAGGAAATATAATGTCCAGGTTCGCAATCCCCTGTGCGTTAGTATTGTATGTCATGTAATATAAGTGACACCAGTAGTTAGGCGGATGAATGTAAAATCCGGCCTCAATGTCAAAGGTCACGAGTGTTTACAGTATCAGGAAATAAAGGGAACATTTGCTGGATTGTGTTAATGAAACCATGAACATAATATTTACTTAGCGGGCAGTGTGTACCAAAGATCAGGAAATATAAAACGGCTTAATTATGTGTGTAGGAAACAGGCCAGACCAGCCATCCCTCTGTAGGGTAATGAAAAAACCGCACACATCTTTTATGATCGTCCTAAACGATCGACCTTGTGAGCAAAATATACATTTGATGTTTACAGTAGAACCCAACAAGTTGGAAGATTCTGGTAGTTCCGGTTCGACCATGCCTACATTTGACAACTGAGATAGCGGTACGTCAGATGTAGAATGGAACAGGGCGTATAGAGATTAAAACCATTAAGAGGAGATGCTGCACAAAATCAAGACCAAAATTTGCTAATATATGGGAAATTGTGTCGATCCACGCCACTTGTTGGGACCCATTGATACTTGTTCATGTTGCCAACCCTCCTATTTCAAAGTATAATGCATATAAAAGATTATAATAAACACTTTTGTTTCTTAAAATATGCAACATCCTATTTTGTAAATTCAACATATTTTCAAAAAGGTTTTAAAAAACAGCTTATACAATTTGGAAAATAGACAATGGAATGTTACGTTTCTTTGAGATATAAGTCTATGACCTAACAAAGCATAAGACTGTCAAGTTTTCGATCAATTGTAT